GCAAAAGAGCAGCTTCTTATGAAAATAAATAATTGCAAAGAGCTGAATATTCTAACTCCCCTTTTTCCCCCCAGTTACAGGAAGTAGTTGCCGTTCTCTCTAGAAGTGATAATTATTCCGTCCCCAGTATTGTATTTTATTTTTATTTTGTAGCTGAAGCTTCTCTCCCTTTAAAGTTTTATTTTTGTTATTGGGAAAGTTTTTTTCTCAAAAGTTGGTCATCTTGCCTACCTTGTTAAACGTGATTCCGCGAAGAGCAGCAGCAGTATCCGCGAAGCTCAAGGCGCAGCCATCATGAGGAACGAGAGCTCAGCGGCCGGAACAAGTGCTGCCCGCCGCGCACAGTGCCCCCTACCAGCCCGGAGGCCTACACTGCACCTACTGTCAAAGGAATGTGATTGTACCTTTAAACCAAGGCTCTTCCATGTTACAGCCCAGAGTTAGGTCCAACAAGGTCCTACTGGTGTTGGTGCAGCACCCAAGCCATTTCTAAAAGGCCTGCTCCTCTAATGCTGCTTGGCCTGCTGTGTTCATCCAGCTCTACACCTTGTTATCTCATAATGCATTTGTGTATTTATTATATACTTTATGATACATATGTCCAATTGCTGTGATACAAACATTGGAGTGGGCCACTTGGCCCCTTGACTCTCCTCAACCATTCATAAGAAGTGGGAGCGTGGGTAGGCCATTCAGTCCCTGGAGCCGACTCCACCACTCAATACGATCATGACTGATCCCATCTCAGTCTCAAATTCACTTTCTTGCTGGTTCCCCACAATCCTATAACCCATTATGTCCAAAGATGTGCAGGTTAGGTGGATTGGCCATACTAAATTGCTCATAGTGTCCAAGGATATGCAGGTTAGGTGGATTAGCCATGGGAAATGCAGGGTTACAGGGATAGGGTAGGGGGGTGGGTCTGGGATAGATGCTCTTTGGAGGGTTGGTGTGGACCCGTTGGGCTGAATGGCCTGCTTCCACACTATAGGGATTCTGTGATTCTATGAGTCTAATTAAAGATCTGACTCTCTCCTTAAATTTACTCAACGTCCTGGCATCCACCTCATTCTGGGTAGTAAATTGCACAGATCCAATAAGATCCGATTACTCCACATTCCCAGCTACACCCCCATAACCTTTCACCCCTTTAATGTTTTGAGTCCAATATTGTTTGAAACTTTATGAAGAGTTGTATAGGACTTGAAACATTACTTCTGTTTCTCCCTGGATAGTTTCTCCAACATTTTTTGTTTTTATCACTCAGGATTTTGTAGGTTTCAATCTGGCCACCTTGTCTAAATTCCAGAAGATACAAGCCTGACCTGTACAAATGTTACTCATAAGACAACTCACCTATTCCAGGTATTAGTCTCTGAACTGCTTCCAAACCAGTTAATTCCTTCTTTAAGCAAGGAGACCAAGTTGTACACAATACTTCAGATGAGATTTCACCAGTCCCTTGTTTAATTGAAGCATAACCCTTCTGCTTTTGTATTTAATTCTTCTTGCAATGAACTATAACATTCTATCAGCTTTCCTAATTACTTGCCATACCTGCTTAGTAACCTGTTGTGATTCCTGCACTGGGAGCCCCTGGTTCCCTGCATTTCAGAGACACACTCTCTAACCATTTAGATATTTTTATTCTTCCTTCACATTTTCCAACATTATACCCTACTTGTCAGACCTTTAGCCATTCACTTAACCTATCTATATCACTTCGTAGCCTCATTATTTCCTGTTTATAATTTGCTTTCCTCCCTTTGAGCTGACTACGCCATTCAACAAGTAAAGCTCCTGATACCAGGTGCAGAAGGATGCCTTAAACAGGAGATAGTTTCAGTCTTACTCAAGCAGTAAAGGATTATTACATATTAATTAGTAGCTAGTTACATTACATCTAAGATATCTGTTTGTCATTGTAAGACAATCAGGCCCAAATTTAGTGTACAGCCAACAGGTATGTGGACAACTGGCTGACACACCCCAGGGACAGTTCTTTATGTCATGATGGATGGACCTTATCTTATGATGTTGGCTAACTCTTTCAGGTACTGTCTTTTTCGAGTGTCATTGACAAATTTCACTCATGTTTATTCCTCATGTCCACATCATTATTATGGATTGTAAATTTCCAGTGAGTCGTAGGGATGTATAGCATGGAACCAGACCCTTCGGTCCAACTCGTCCATGCCGACCAGATATCCTAAATCCAGTCCCATTTGCCAGCATTTGACCCCTATCCCTCTAAATCCTTTCTATTCATTTACCATCCAGATGCCTTTTAAATGTTGTAAGTGTACCAGCCTATTCATTCCATATATGCACTATCCTCTGTGTGAAACATTTGCCCCTTAGGTCCCTTTTAAATCTTTCCCCTCTCACCTTAAACCTATGCCCTCTAGTTTTGGACTCCCTCACTCCGGTGAAAAAACCTTGTCTATTTACCCTATCCATGCCCCTCATGATTTTATAAACCTCTATACAGTCACCACTCAGCCTCCAACGCACCAGGGAAAATAGTCTCAGCCCATTCAACCTCTCCTGATAGTTCAAACTCTCCAAACCTGGCAACATCTTTGTAAATCTTTGCTGTACCCTTTCAAGTTTAACAACATCTTTCCCATATCAGGGAGACCAGAATTAAATGCATTATTCTAAAATTGGCCTAACCAATGTCCTGCACAGCTGCAAAATGACCTCCCAACTCCTATACTCAATACACTGAGCAATAAAGGCAAGCGTACCTAACATCTTCTTCAATACCTTGTCTACCTGCAGCACCACCTTCAAGGAACTATGAACCTGCACCCCAAGGTCACTTTGTTCAGCAACACTCCCCAGGACCTTACGATTATCTGTATACGTTCTGCCCTGGTTTGCCTTTCCAAAATGCAGCACCTCACATTTATCTAAATTAAACTCCAATTGCCACTCCTCGGCCCATCAGCCAATCTGATCAAGGTCCTGATGTACTCCAAGGTAACCTGCTTTGCTATCCACTACACCTCCAATTTTGGTGTAATTTGCAGAATTACTAACCATGCCTCCTATATTCACATCCATATCATATATATAAATGATAGAAAGCGTTGGTCCCAACACCAATCCCTTGACCTCCAATCTAAAAGGCAACTATCCACCACCACTTTCTGTCTCCTACCTTCTAGCCAATTTTGAGAGCTGTGAAGATGTGGAATTCACAGCTGTGGCAGAACACATGGCAACATTGAAGGCTCAGGGAGGTGAGCACATAATCCAGACTGACACATCTGGAGAAAATACTGAGGAAGTTGTTGCGTCTTTGAAGATGTTGCCTTTTAGAATAAGAAGTCAAGCCAAGGCTCGGCCTTCCTTCTCAGGTATGAAACAACTCACGGTCACTATTTCAAAGAAGATCCATCCCTTCAGAACTTGTCTAGATGATAACGCTTTGACCACATTCACGGTCACCCTTCCTAATTTCACCTTCTCTTGACCTGAGGCCCATTTATATCTCTCTGAAAGATTGTTGTAAAAAGAGCTTGCTGTCAGAGCTTACCATCTCACATTCACCAGGAGTGATGCAAGAATGCCAAATTTCAAAGGGAACAACAATTTATACTGCATGCAAAACAGATTACTGATTAGTTGGGAAGTGGACTGTCATTGGTTGAGGCATTTCCATGGAGAATGCATCAGAGAACAATGTCTTCCAAGTTTTTGTTGAATTAAAAATGTGCAAACCCTGGGTAACCACCTACTTCCTGCAAGGGTCTGGGCCCTGGGTACGAAGGTGCATTGTATGCAAGTCACATTGTAAGTCTGATTGATGATCTCAGATTGGTTGTTAGTGTAATCATTGACACAGTTAGGACTGTCAAGTAAGTGCTGCTCCAATCACAGAGGCACGTCTATGTTGGACATGACATACTGAGTTTTACAAGCATGGGTTGGCCGAGTCGGTACTCTGCTGGTTCACTGGTGCATTCCCTATATCAAAGCCTCAACCAGTCAAAGTTGACTTGCCAAACAATCAGCACTCTTTTCTCATGCAGTATAAATTGTTCCGACCTATGAAATTTGGTTTTCTTGCGAATCTGTCCTGATGACAGTAAGAGGAGATGCTTTGATGTTGTGTTTCTTTTTCAGCAATGCTGAAGTACTGCGCTATCAGATTCATTATGGCAGATAGGTGACCATTTGGCCTATTGTGTCCATGACTGCTCTCTGTATTCCAATCCAGTCAGTCGCATTCCCATGCTTTATCCTTGTAACCCAGGTGGTTTGTAGCCTCAACTAACCATTGAATTTTCTGTTGAAATTATTGGTGGTCTCCACTTCTACCACACTCATTGAGAATGAGTTCCAGGCCATCCCCACTTACTGTGGAAAACAGTTTCATTCGTGAAGCCCCCTCTCCCCACCATGTCACCTCCCAAACCTCCAATTTGATTGTAGATCATTTTCTATCTGGAGCCCAGTGAGCAGCTATGAGAAAAAGAGTTTTGTTTTGGTTCCATGAACTGTCACGAGGGACACAAATTAACGTTTTGTCTCCACATTCTCCCTCCTGTGTCAGATCAGCAAACGTCAATCATGTGGGTTTCACATAGTTCTGTCTCAGTGTCATCTCCCCCTCTGAGCTCCAATTCTCTCCTTGATTTACAAGCGCTCATTTCATCCCAGGGCCGCACGACCTCACTCTGGCAATGTGCTTGTTCACTGACCTCAAAGTCACGCATTCCCTGCATGTCTGGGCTGCTTTCCAACATTGTGTCAAGTCAGGTGCATCCCCTGCCCTCCCCTCATCTCTCAACCCAAACTCAAACCCAAACCCAGGCAGCAATGGATGTACATGCCTTTCCCAGGTGTGACTGCCTGGCTAGACCGCCCCCTCCCCACACACACACACACACACACACACACACACACACACCGCCCCTAATGCCAGCTCTCCAACCAGTCCACAGTTATAAAACTCTCAGGAGACACTTTGTCGTTTTGCAGTACACATGCTCGTTCCCTGCTGTCTTTGATAGGGCACTTTCAATTCTCACTGTGTCGACCACACGGAAGGGATGGATGTGGACGAGGAAATCAGCTCCCTGATTAACAAGGTGGAATTAAAGGAGAGTTTGGAGAGAGCTGAACAGCAGGTAAGTAGTAAAGGGTATGAATATATAACTGCAAACTTCTGGGAAAGGGATATATTTGCTGCAGATGGAAAAGAGTTTGCAAGAGGACAGCCAAGGACCTGGGATTAATTAGACAGCACCTATAAAGAGCCAGCACAGGAACCTTCTTTTGTGTTATAAGATTCAACAATACTTCTAAAACGATTCTTAATTGGTGGAGGACGTGACTGTTTGATCATTAGTAGAGAGTGTGGGAGTGAAATTGCAGCTGATGGATTTTCTCTGAAGCTGATGTTGGAGAAAGCCTGGAGATTGAATATTTATAACTGTCCACCTTGTTCTGCTGCCACGTTTACTGCAGGAGTGAGTGGAAGAAATCACCCTCCACCATCCTGTCCTCCAAATCAACCCAAGTATGATTAGCATCTGCTTAGGCACTTTTTAAACAACTTCTTCAGAAGCAGGTGGGAATTGAAAACAGGTCTTTAGATAATTTTAGATATGAGCCAATCTTTCAAGGTCCTTAAAGGATTCAATAACTGCGACACCCAAAATTAACCCTGAAATTGGCAGGGATTTCAGAAGCAGGTTTGGCAGATACAACAAGATCTTACAGTTTGAAATTGCACAGCATTACGCAGAGAGGCACGTACAGACAGGATCTAGGGAAACGTACAGTGAGGGTGAATTTAAGGAGGAACTGGAAAGCTGTTTGAGTTGACTGGAAGATTCAGGACCAGTCACATCCATTGTAGTGTGTCTTATGATATTGTAGATTTTAGGTTAGTTAATCACTTTGAATGCTGTGAGCAAGAACTATCTTGGAAACTCAAAAAAAAATTAACTGAATGAACGATTGATAGCCCCTTAGACAGACACTGAGAAAATAGGCAAATCATCAAAGGAAATGTATCTAATTTAAATTAAAATGTGTTTTGTTTTAGCGGAGCTGATGCACTCCAGTCACTGTGGTGTCTACAGCAGAAGTTTAGATGCACAGACTGTTCCACTCTGATTGTTAAGAACGGTAGCTGCATTGTCTTTGTAAAACAATCAAATTCGACTCTCCGCTGTCAGCTAGGAAGCTCCCTCAATTCGTTGTTCAGAAGGCTATGGGTTATGGTCCAACTCCAGAGTACCTGATCTAGCCTGGCAACCCTGAGGGAGTGCTGCAGTGTCAGAAACACAGTCACTCAGATGAGACACTAAACTAGGATTCTGTTTGCCCTTTCGAAGTGGATACAAAAGGACTAATTCTACTAGCTCAAATAAGGAATTGAGCAGAAAATGTCTCCATGTGGTGCAGTGGTAGTGTCCATATCACTGCACCAGGTGGCCTGGGTTCATGTCCCACCTGCTCCAGAAGTGTGTAATAACATTGCTGAACAGTGTGATTCAGAAATGAAAACAAAAGAAAATCTCCCTGCTGCCCTATAATATTAATTTCTTAATGAATGTGTGTAAAAATAGGTCATTTTCACGTTGCTGTTTTTTAGGATCTTTCTCTTCCTGAATTGTTTGCCAAATTTCCTATATTTCAACAGTGACCACACTTGAAAAACTACTTAAAAACTGAAAGGACTGCGGATGGTGTAAATCAAAGACAAAAATAAAGTTGCTGGAAAAGCTCAGTAGGTCTGGCAGCATCTGTGGAAAGAGATCAAAGTTAACATTTTGGGTTGACTGATCATTCCTCAGAATTTGAAAAACTATTTAATTGGTTGCTAAACATTTTGTGATGCTCTCAACCTGTGAAAAGCATGATATAGATACAAATCTTTCTTCTATAACAAAATAAGATTAAACTAAATGTTTAATCTTAAAATAGAGGACAAAAGGATTCTAGTGGTTTAATTTCACCCATCCCTATGCCAACTGAAAATGTTTGCATATTATTCTGCTGTGCACTGCTAAAATGGAGTTCTAAACACACTGGAGAAACTCAGCAGGCCTGGCAGCATCCGTGGAGAGAGAAACACACAGTTAACATTTTGAGTCCAGTATAACTTCTTCAGACTCTTCTTGCATTTACATAGTGCCTTTTACAGCCACCAGACTGCTCAAAGTGTTTTGCAGCCAACTATAATCACTGTTGTAATGTAGTGCAAGATGCAGAGCAAGATCCCACAGATGGCAAAATGTTTAATGGCCAGTCCATCTGTTATATTAAAAACCAAAAGAACTGAGGCTGCTGTAAATCAGGAGCAAAAACAAAGTTGCTGGAAAAGCTCAGCAGGTCTGGCAGTATCTGTGAAGGAAAAAACAGAGTTAACGTTTCAGGTCCGGTGACCCTTCCTCAGAGCTCAGAAGTTCCGAAAAGTTAACTCTGTTTTTTCCTTCACAGATACTGCCAGACCTGCTGAGCCTTTCCAGCAACTTTGTTTTTGTTCCATCTGTTATATTTACTAGCCGACATAGGAAGAAACATTCTCAGAAAGAGGAGGGATTACTGAGTCAAAAGCTTCATAAAATAAAAATTCCCATGTCCTAATAAAATGTAAACAAATGAAATGTCTCTTTCTTCCATGTTCCTAGAGGCCAAAGTGTGGCAATGTGGCAATTAGTGACATGAATGCAGTGGATCTGGAAAAGGAGAAATACAGGGAGCCAGCTAAAAACAGTGGATTCCTGGCAGTGAAGGTAATTGTTATTCAACCACATCGCTGACGCACATTCAACAGACTCTGAAGTATGAAAATCATCAAAAAACCTCAATGCAGTGTGAGTTATGTGGCATAATATTTCTACAATGTGAGTCATGTGGCACAGTATTGGGACAATGTGAGTCATGTGGCAGTATTGTTACAGTGAGTCATATGACACATTTCTACAGTGTGAGTCATGTGATACAATATTTCCACAATGTGAGTCATGTGACACGGTATCCTTTGGGGCAGCATTTGGCAAAAAGAATGATCCAACACAATTAGGGGTAGACACCCAGGAAAGCCCAACACATCTCACAAAATTACCCCTATTATGAAATATCACAGAAGATCAACAAGGAACCTTGGAACCAGCAATCATAGAAACACAGGAGTGGAAGTAGGCCATTCAGCCCAATGAACCTGCTCCATCATTCCAGATCATGGCTGGTCATTTACCTCAATGCACTGGGCCTAGTGTGGGAAAGTGGGACCAGTGCCTGTAGACGTATATTTTTCATGGAATTATAGAATCCCTGCAACGTGGAAAGAGGCTGTTTGGCCCATGGAGTCCTCACTGACCCTCCAAAGAGCACGGCACCCAGACCCAACCCCCTATCCCTGCATTTCCCATGGCTAATGCACCTAACCTGCACATTTTTGGACTGTGGGAGGAAAAGAGAGCACCCGGAGAGAACCCACACAAACACAGGGAGAATGTGCAAACTCCACGCAGACAGTCGCCTGTCCCACTTTTGCTGGTACAAACTGGGCTGAAGGGCCCCCTCTGTCCTGTATGATTCTATGATTCTGTATTACTGTGATATCCCAGCATCCCTTGATGTCATTAACAAATATAATTCTATCAATCTATGCCTTCAACTGAATTGACTGAACTTCCACAGCTCTCACTATAGGAAGGATATTAATAAGCTGGAGACTGTTCAGAAAACAGTCACCAGGATATTGCTGTCATTAGAGGGTTTGAGTCATAAGGAGAGGCTGGATAGGCTGGGACTTTTATCACTGGAGTGTAGGAGGTTGAGGGGTGGCCATATATAGGTTTATAAAATCATGAGGGGCATAGATAAGGTGGATAGCAAAGGTCTTTACCCTCGATGGGGAAGTTCAAAACTAGGGGCATATTTTTAAGGTGAGAGGAGAAAGATTTAAAAAGGACTTGAGCGGAAAATTTTTCACACAGAGGGTGGTTCGTGAGTGGAATGAGTTGCCAGGGGAAGCGGTAGATGCAGGTACAATTACAACATTTGAAAGACATTTGAACAGGAACATGAATAGGAAAGGTTTAGAGGGATATGGGCCAAATGCAGACAAGCAGGACTAGTATAGTTTGCGAACATGGTTGGCATGTTGGACCGAAGGGTCTATTTCCATGCTGCATCACTCTATGACTCTGAGGTAGAGAATTCCAAAGATTCACATCCTCTGAGTGAAAACTATTCCGCTCATCTCAGCCCTAAATGGCTTGTTCCTTGTTCTGAAACAGTATCACCTTCTTCTACGCAACTCACCCTCTTGCACCTCATCGAGTTGCAGTGTTTAAGAATTTTCTACACTCAGAGTGGATCATCTCTCATTCTTCCAAACTGTAGAGAATGCAGTCCCAGCCTCCTCAATCTCTCCTTAGAGGAAAGTCCCAGCATCCCAGGAATTAGTCCAATGGGGCGGCACGGTGGCTCAGGGGTCAGCACTGCTGCCTCACAGGGTCAGGACCTGGGTTCAATTCCACCCTCGGGCGACTGTCTGTGTGGAGTTTGCACATTCTCCCCGTGTCTGCATGGTTTTCCTCCGGGTCCTCCAGTTTCCTCCCGCAGTGCAGGCTAGGTGCATTGGCCATGCTAAATTGCCGATAGTGTCCAACGATGTGTAGGTTATAGGGGGATGGGTCTGGGTGGGATGCTCTGAGGGTCAGTGTGGACTGGTTGGGCTGAAGGGCCTGTTTCCACACTATAGGGATTCTATGAACCTCTGCTGCATTCCCTCAATGGGGAGTATATCCTCCCTGAGGCAAGGAGATTAAGACTGCTTCAGGGCACAGCAGCATCTCTCCTCTACAAACCAGTGAGCATGTTGCTTTAAGTGTGGCAGCTTTGTTCAACAGCTGTTTTAAGACACAGGGATTTATTCAGTGACCTTTGTATTTATTCCACTGCCAATTACAGTTGCATCTGCTGCTGTGCTGAGGTCTGGGCCTGTCTTTTGTGTCTCACTCTATTCCTCTCCCTTCAAGTTTGAACCAAAAATACAAACTCTGCACATCTCCAGGCCTCTTAGTTAGCCATCCCACCTTCCTCTAAATCCTTCCCAGGATGGGCCAAAGGGCCTCTTTCTGGGCTGTGGTGTTAGGGTTGTGGGATCGCTTTTCGACTGAGTGGTGCGAGCCTCTTCTGAGATTGTTGATAGGTCAGTTAGTCAGGTTATTACTGTCATCGTTCATCTCCCCTGGGAACACAGGGTTAAAATGATCATTGTCTCCGCTAGATATCTCTCAAGAGGGCTGTGTCTCTTTGGAATCCCCTTCCTCAGAAGGCGATAGATGCCAAATCTTTAAGCATTTTTAAGGCAGAGGTAGTTTCTTGATGACCAAGGGGGTGAAAGATGATTGAGGACATGCAGGAATGTAGAGTTGAGGTTAAAATTAGATGAGCCATGATCTTGTGAAATGGCGAAGCAGGATCATAGGGGCTAAATGGCCTCCTCTTGTGCCCTGTACATTAGTAACACCGGCATTTCTCACCACACCCTGGTTACCCAGCCATGGTGCTGCTGGCTTTCCCCCTTGGACTCTTGTGTTTTGCCACCAATCAGAGGCTTGCTTGGCCGTGTCAGATGGCAGCACTTTGGTGAGGAACTGGAGTCACGTGTAGGCTGGGACTGGGTAAGGACAGACGCATTCCTTCCACAGAGGACTTTCATCAAGCAAACTGAGGTTTTTACGACAATCCAGCACCATCACGGTCGCTTTGACTGAGTGGTAACTGCAGAATGTCAAACTGTCTGGAATGATCTGCCAAAGGGTATAATTACAACATTTAAAAGGCATTTGGATGAATAGGAAGGGTTTAGGGTGACATGGGCAAAACGCTGGAAAATGGGACTAGATTAGTTTGGGATATCTGGTCGGCATGGACAAGTCGGGCTGAAAGGTCTGTTTTCTGCGCTGTACAACTCTATGACTCTATGAATGTTCCAGAGCCTCAGCACTGACCTCTCCCAGTTTGACAGAGATTACAATGATTTCTAAAAAAAATACAACATACAACATCACGACTGATCTTCCACTTAAATCCTACTTTCCCGAGTGATCCCTAAATCCCTCTGTTTCCAATAATCAATCAATTGATCTCGGGGTTAAGCATTCCGAAGATTCATAACTTTCCGAGTGAAGAGGCTTTTCCTTGCCTCAGTCTGAGATGAGCAGCTCATAATCCCGAGCTGGTCTCTGCATTCAGAAACAAGGAAATAAAGTTTCCAAGGACAGTGAAACTTTCAGCGACCAGAATGAAACTGGGCTGATGCCAGGATGAGACAAAGAACTCTTGAGAGTTTTGTTTCTGGCACATGTTACAAATCCCTGAGTGTGGCATGTCAAATACCAATTTTAAATAAGCTCAAAATGAGGGCTGTGGAAACTTGACATTGATGAATTAATACCTGAAATCTCAGCTGTCACCACAGCCCCCTGAAGGTTTAATTGTCCAAGGTGACATTTACACAGTCAGCATGAGGCTGGACCATGAGGGACTGTCAGGGAGCAGAAATGCTCACCATTTCTATCTTCACACATTATCCACTTTAATCGAGAATGGCAGAGCTGGAGAATGGGGCCATGTTTTGTTTTTTTTTTGGCTGAGATTTCAGATCTGAGTGCTTTCCCAACATAAGATTAGAGACAGAGTAAAGCTTTCTCTCCACTGTCCTTATCAAACACTCCCAGGACAGGGACAGCATGGGGTTAGATACAGAGTAAATCTCTCTCTCCACTGTCCTCATCAAACACTCCCAGCACAGGGACAGCACAGGGTGAGATACAGAGTTAAACTCTCTCCAAACTGTCCCCAAGCCTTCCTGCTCCTATGATGCTGCTTGGCCTGCTGTGTTCATCCAGCTCTACACCTTGTTATCCCAGATTCTCCAGCATCTGCAGTTCCTACTATCTCTCCCCCATCAAACACTTCCAGGACAAGGACAGCACGGGGTTAATGCTGTCTCTACTATTTTAAACAAAAGTTAAAGCTACCTCTACACTGTCCCCATCTAATACTTCCAGGACAGGTACAGCACAAGGTTTATATATATAGTAAAGATCCCTCTACTCCTTTAAAATGAAAGTAAAGCTCTTTCTACATTGTATTTAAAATTCTTTTGTCCTTTTTATTTCCCTTTCTTATTCACCGCTTTCTCCATTGATCCCTTCTCCACTCACTTTCCCATATGCAGCCGATATTCCCGATCTCCTTGTTTCCTGTCCAAGGTTAAAGTGCATTTTGCTGTTGAGACGGGGAGCTGGGAATAATGGCCAAGGTCACATTGATCATTGTTCTGTTCTTGACTAATAACATCGCAGGGTGAAGAAAGAGTGAGAAAGACTTCGAGGGACCTACGTCAAGAAATAATCGATATCGGAGGAATCGAAAATTTAATTCAGCTTCGAAAGAGAAGGAAAGAGAAGAAAGAAAAGAAATTTCCCGTTCGAGAACCAGAGAAGGAGCCAGAGGAAATTGTAAGTGAAACTTTTAAAAAATAGGTACAATGTCAGAAATTACCACCGTGAGATTAGTGAATGAAATGTTAACACTTTCGATGACATTCCTCCAGTTTGTTTAGGTGAGGTCAATTATCGCTTGTAGCCGAATAGGAGGAAGGTTCAGGAAACAATTAAGGTTAAGATTAATGTTAGGGCAAGTTACTAAATATTGTGCATTATCATCATTTCTGGCTCATAAGGAAGAGAGGGGACAAAATGTCCTGTGACTTCATTCTGAGGGTGTGGGGTGTATGTGGCAAAATGTCAGATGGGTCGGAGCTTGTGACCGAAAGAAGGGCACACTTGCATTTATATACCACACTGAGATAGTAGGAACTGCTGATGCTGGAGTCTGAGATAACAAGGTAGGGAGCTGGAGGAAAAACTTCTGAAGAAGTGTCCTGACCCGAAACGTCAGCTTTCCTGCTCCTCTGAATCTGCCTGGCCTGCTGTGTTCCTCCAGCTCCACAGGTTGTTAACTGCATTTATATACCACCTTTCATGACTACCAGCCATCTCAAAGTGTTTTCTGACGTGCGTCACTGTTGACATGGCCGATAATTTACACGCAGCAAGCTCCCACAGATAGCCATGTAATGAATGGCCAGACATTCTGTTGAGTGACAGATTGATCATAGAATAGAATCCTAGAATTCCTACAGTATGAAAGCAGACCATTCGACCCATCAAGTCCAAACCAACCCTCTGAACAGCATCCCACCCAGACACATCCCCTACCCTATCCCTGTAACCCTGCATTTCCCATGGCTAATCCATCTAGCCTATACATCCCTGAATGCAATGGGCAATTTAGCATGGCCAATGCACCTAACCTGCATATCTTTGGACATTGATGTTATACACGGCATTAAGGAGAATTGCCCTGCTCTACTACCAAACAGTGTGATGGAATCATTGACATCCTCCCGAGATGAGCGAGCAGGACCTCAGTTCAATATCTCATCAAAATGATGACACCTCCAGTGAGAGCAGTGACCCCTCACTGCCCCTGATGCTGTTAACAGAGTATCAGCCTTGACTTTGTCAACTGGGCTGTTGTGATGAGATTTGAATCTGGAAGCTTACGACTCACACTTAAATGTGTTACCAACTCAGCTGTGGCTGGCACCCAGAAAATCACCTGCCAAATTGTCCTTAAATTAGTTTTGGGGGTGAGGGATTTGTAGAAAAAAGATCAACATCTTAAATCAACAGTAGTAGGCCTGTGGTATTAATCCAGAGAGCCAGGTAACGTTCTGGGGGCCTGGCCTCAAGCCATGCCATGGCAAATGGTGGGATTTGAATTCAATAAAAGAGTTTAATGACTGGCCGTGCTAAATTGCCTCGTAGTGTCCAGGAATGTGCAGACTATGTGGATTAGCCGTGGTAAATGCGGGATTATGGAGATAGGGTGGGGGCTGAGTCTGGGTGGGACAATCTTCAGAGGGTCGGTGCAGACTTGATGGGCCAAATAGCCTCTTTCCACACTGTGGTGACTCTACAATGACCATGAATCCATTGTCAATTGTTGGAAAAACCCACCTGGTTCGCTAATGTGCTATAGGGAAGAAATTGCCATCCTTACCTGGTCTGGCCTACATAAGGATGGCAGTTTCTTCCCTTTGGCACATTAGCGAACCAGATGGGTTTTTCCAACAATTGACAATGGATTCATGGTCATCGTAGATTTACCACAGCAATGTGCTCTTAAACTGCCTTCTGGGCAATTGGGGATGGAAAATAAACGCTGGCCTAGCCAGCGATGCCCTCATCCTGTGAATAAAAGAAAAAAAGTGGGCTTTTTTGTGATTCAGATCAAGGGCCTTCAAACCAACTCTCCTGACAATGGAGAAAGTCTTCTGTTTTCAAATGGAAAGCTGGCCAATCCAGTGGATTTATTCATTCTAGGGCTAGTGCGATAAGTTAGGAGGAAGTTTTGGATTTCCTCGTTCAAAGTCTCTGTGGGTATAAGCCTCTAACATTTTTATTTGTTAATGGGATATGGGCATTGCTGGCCAGGCCAGCCTTCATTACTCATTCTAAGTTGCAGTTTAGAGTCAACCACATTGCTGTGGGTTTGGAGTCACATGTAGGCCCAGACCAGGTAAGGATGACATATTTCCTTCCCTAAAGGACATGAGTGAACCAGATGGGTTTTTACCAAATGACAAAAACAAAGTTGCTGGAGAAGCTCAGCAGGTCTGGCAGCATCTGGGAAGGGAAAAAACAGTTAACGTTTCAGGTCTGGTGACCCTTGCTCAGAACAATCTCAGGGACAGTGACTACGAGTCCATCCATAAGAACATAAGAAGTAGGCCATCCATCCCCCCAAGCTGGTCCCACCATACAAGATCATGGCTGAGAGATAGTAAAACATGCCGATGCTGGAGTCAGAGATAACACAGTGTGGAGCCAGAGGAACACAGCAGGCCAGGCAGCATCAGAGGAGCAGGAACGCTGATGTTTCAGGTCAGGACCCTTCTCCAGAAATGGGGGAGGGGTAAGGGAGCTCTGAAATAAATAGAGAGGAGGGGCAGGGTAGGTAGGTGGAATGGTGATAGGTGAGTGCGGGTAGGCAGTGGTGGGGATTGGCCAGTGAAGTGGAAGTAGCGGATAGGTGGGAGAGAAGACGGACCAGGCAAGGAGGCAGGGATGAGAGGGTGGGTTGGTCATGGGATGAGCCTAGGGGTGGGGAGACTTTGAAACTAGTAAAGTCCACATTGAGACCATTGGGTAGATCATGGCTAATTTGCCTCAAACCTCAACTCCTCTTTTGAGCCACATGGTAGCTCAGTGGTTAGCACTGCTGCCTCACAGCACCAACAACCATGGTTCAATTCCACTCTCGGGCTGTGTGGAGTTTGCATGTTCTCTCTATGTCTGCATGGGTTTCCTCCAGGTGCTCTGGTCTCCTCCCAGCATCTAAAATTGTGCAGGTTAAGGTGGATTGGCCATGGGAAATTACCCATAGTGTCCAGGGATGTGCAGGCTTAGGTGGTTTAGCCATAGGGAATATGGGGTTACGGGGATGGGATGGGGGTGGGTCTGGATGGGGTGCTCTTCAGGGTGTCGGTGTGGATTTGGTGGGCTGAATGGCCTGTTTCCATACAGTGGAGAGTCTATGAATTACACTGTTTGGTGCATTAGGTTCTGCCTGTGTGATGTGTACAGAGAGTCCCAACGATGTGACTGTCATCTGGAGAAAAATGGTGTGATCCTGTTTGAGAGGGATTCTGATGGTTAGACCCAAACTTTGAGAATGATTATGTGTTTTCAGACTGATCCAGTTGAGATCCCAGTGTTTCTGAGTGCTGCGGTGCAGGGAAAAATTAAGATCATCGAGAAATACCTGAAGGACGGAGGCTGTCCTGATGCATGTGACGAGGTCAGTGCAGAATTGTAACCCCTGAGCCTGATCCCCTGACTGATTTGTCCTGTGTTTTTTTCTCTGGATCCCATCCAGAACAGCTCCATCTATTCCTGGCCTCTGCTCAGTATTATTCCAGCAGGTGTCTCAGCACATCAGTGCAACAAGGAAGGAAAATACCTTCAGCTTATGAGTGTCAGCTGATCAACAACAACAATGACAGCTTGCATTCATATAGCACCTACAATGCAATCCAACATCTCAAGTCACAGTTGCATTGACAAGCCAAGTACCATACAGAGCATTCATGGGATATCACTGGCTGGCCAGCATTTATTGCCCATTTCTAGTTGTCCTTGAGAAGCGGTTGGTGAGCTGCCTTCTTGAACTGTAGCAGTCCACGTTATAGATAGACCCACAATGACCTTAGGGAGGGAATTGCAGCATGTTAACCCAGCAACAGTGAAGGAACATTGATATATTTCCGAGTCAGGCTGTCGAGTGGTTTGGTTAGGAACTTGCAGGTGCTCCCATATATCTGCTGCCCTTGTCCTTCTAGGTAGAAGTGGTCATGGGTTTGGAAGGTGCAGTCTAAGGAGCCTTTTTGAATTTCTGCTGTGCATTTTGTAGACAGTACACACTGCTACTACTGAGGGTTGGTGGTGGACAGTGTGGATGTTGGTGGATGCGGTGCCAATCAAGCGAGCTGCTTTGTCCTGGATGGTGACAAGTGTTGTTGGAATTGTACCTATCCAAGCAAGTGCCATGTTAGGACAGATGGTAAATTTCATCATGGAAGTTGGTTTAAGGAAGCAGTTTTGTTTTTACTCATAAGATGTGGATGTCATTGGCTGTGACAGCATTTATTGGCCATTCCTAATTGCTCAATGGGCAGTTAAGAGTCAACCACGTTATTGTGGATCTGGCTAAGGGAAGCAGATTTCCTTCCGAAAGGACATTGGTGAGCCAGATGGCTTAATTTTTACAACAATTTACAGTGGTTACGCACTCGCAATCCGTGTTCCCTTTAAGCTGCATGGTCCCTCGCACTTTCTGCACACACTGATCACCATCCCGACGTATCGACTTCCAGTTTCCAAAGCTGCTGTCACACACACAGACCTCGGAGGTCCACGTGAATGTAGGGGAAATGTACACGGAACGTAGGTCACCATTAACCTAGCTTTGATTTTTGTAGAATTCAGATTTCATCACCTGCCATTCGAACATCTGTCCCCTCGGAGATTTCCCTGCCGTTTGGGATGGCTAATCTAGTGGTATTACCGTGATGTCACTGTTTCCCTAGAAGATGGGATGAGGTAGAGGGCTGAGGAGTTTCAACTAGAGCTAGGGCCCAAGACTCAGCCACCAATGTCAGAGTGAAGAGAACGGCCAATATGCGAGAGGCCGGATTTGGAGGGGCGCTGGGATTTTGGAAACTCATAGGGCCGGTGGAGATTACAGAGATAGAGAGGAGTGAAGCAATTTAAGGGCATAAGGGTATGTGGTCGCGATGCCCTTCTTCGCTGGCACAGCAACTTGCATTTACATAGCACCTAATAGCGTAGAAAACCCATCACAAGGCACCTGACAGAGACGTAGTAAAAAAAAAATCGATGGAACTCACAATATTCCAAAACTCTACACAGCTGATGAATTACTTTTGAAGTGTGCAGTAGCCACTGTTGTGAATTAGAAATCACAGCAGCCAATTTGCCTACAGTTAAACTCCCATGAGCAGCCATGTTGAAAAAGAGCAGATACTCTGTATCTTTTTGGTCAAGGAATGAACTGCCCTGTCCCTCAGTGACAACAAGGTGCAGGGCTGGATGAACACAGCAGGCCAAGCAGCATCAATAGGAGCAGAGAGGCTAGTTGCAGTGGGAGAGAGATCCCTTGAGGTTTGTCCGGAGAGAGGAGGGTAACTTCTTCAGGTTAGGCATGATATGGCTTTGTTGAGGCATCTGGGTAGAGGGTAGTGGGGATGGCGGTGTGTGATTGAACAGGAAACTGATGTAAGTTAGAACCAGAGAAGAGCTGAATTTGGAAAGCTGTCGCTATTGTCAAACAAATCTATATACCCTACAAATTACCTTTAGATCATTTCTATCCAAAGACTAGTTGTGTTTGCAGTCCTTCTCTGGGTCTGGGACTCATAGAGCTGACCATGCACTAATCCATTGTAAAAGTAATCACTGCTTAGGGACAACTAGAGATGCAAAATAAGTGCAGTCTGGTCAGTGTTGCTGACACTCAAAGCATAAATGGACTTGAATCATCCCTCAAACTTGCTTTGCAATTTGTTACACTCTGTTGTGGTCCAAATGTGGACGTCTCATTCTTCTTAACTGTATAGAACACAGTCCCAGCCTCCTCAATCTCTCCTTAGAGGAAAGCCCCACCATCCCAGGAATTAGTCCAATGGGGTGGTATGGTGGCTCAGTGGTTAGCACTGCTGCCTCACAGCGTCGGGGACCCAGGTTCGATTCCACCCTCAGGCAACTGTCTGCGTGGAGTTTGTACATTCTCTCTGCGTCTGCATGGGTTTGCTCTGGTTTCCTCCCACAGTCCAAAGATGTGCAGGCTTGGTGGATTGGCCATGCTAAATTGCCCATAGTGTGCAGGGATGTGTAGATTAGGTGTGTTATAGGGGAATGGGTCTGGGAGAGATGCTGTGAGGGTCAGTGTGGACTTATTGGGCCAAAGGGCCTGTTTCCACACTGTAGGGATTCTATGATCTACAACACAAGGAATGATTTGTACTCGGTCTCCAGCATTCTGGCCTCACTGTGATTCTTTCATGTATTTTTCTCCATAGTTTAAGCGCACCGCCCTGCACAGAGCTTCTCTAGAAGGTCACACTGACATTGTAACCAAAATTCTCGAAGCGGGAGCAACAGTGGACTTCAAAGATAGGGTGAGTGTTCCATTCTTTCCTTCTATTCAACCATGACAGATAGACTTGCATGTATACAGCACCTTTCAAGACCTCAGCACCATCCCAAATCGTCTTACACTCTACGAAGTATGATTCGAGGTGTAGCCACTGTTGTAATGTAGGAAGTAGGCAGTCAATGTATGAAAAAGAATATAATATCGAACTGTTTTTGACATGTTGACGGAGGGGGTGGGTTAACACTGTTGGGTGAACGAGTGGTTTGCAGTGCAGGGTGATACCCTGAGCATGGGCTCAATTCCTGCACCAACGGCGGTTGCCACAACGAGCTCTCTTTCTCAACGTCTCCTCTCGCCTGAGGTGCGCTGACCCTCAGGTTAAACCATCACCAGACATCTTTGTCTGTCTCTGTCTAATGAGAGAGTAGCTGTACGATCTGATAAGACTACGGTAGTTATACCTTTTGACAGAGGGATATACAGCGACCACAAAGTGGGCCAGGGAGACGTTTATTTCACTAGGATGTTGTCGGGAGTGAGGTTTTGAATTATAAGGAGGGGCTAGGTAGGCTGGGATATTTTTTCCACTGGAGCATAGGAGGTTGAGGAGTGACATTATAGAGGTTTATAAAACCATGAGGGTTTTGGGTAAGGTAAGTGGCAGATATATTTTCCCTAACGTGGGGGAATTTCAAGACTAGGGGGCATAGATTTAAGGTGAGAAGAGAAAGATTTATAAAAGACATGAGGAGCATTTTTTTTACACAGACAGTGGTTCGTGTGTGGAATGAACTTCCAGAGGAAGTGGTGGATGCGGATACAGTTACAACAGTTAAAAGACATTGGGATAAGTACATGAATAAGAAATGTTTGGAGGGATACAGGCCAAACGCAAGCAGATGGGACTAGTTTAGTTTGGGATTATGGTTGGCATGGACCGGTTGGACCGAAGGGTCTGTTTCCATGCTGTATTGGCTCTATCTAGTGAGAGGGCCCTCAATTTAATGTCTCACCTGAAAAATGACACCTCTGACAGTGTGGTGCTACCTCGACAATGTTCTCGGAGTGTCAGTCTGGACTGTGCACTCAGGCCTCTGGGTTAGGACAGTGAAAGCCTGTGACTTGTGCTGGAACTGGGCTCCGCGAAGACTGTCCCAGACGTTAAAGGGTCGGTGACTGCCGGCCCATTTTGAGATTGTGGCAGTGCTTCTGAAAGCCTGAATTAGAAGGCAGTGGACAGACATCTCCTGAAAGATTAACAACACACCCTTCCTTTCCAGCTGAGATGCCAATTATGCAGCACCCTTTCATCTCAATCTGTCATTACCAGTCAGCGGATCAATGGGTGCATTGGGTAATCATGTCTTTCATTTGGACAGCTAACAGCAGCTCAGACTGAGTTATCCTTCCATCGGGGGGATTCAGGGAAGATTTAATAGAAGCGCTTAGAGATCATGAAGCGTTTTCCCACAATAAGGAAAGGCTCCTACTTTTCGTTCTGGCAGGAGACTGGGTTATCAAGACACTCAGATTGAAGAGAATCAGTAAAAGATCAGAGAAGGGATGACAGGAAATGTTTTCACATACAGTGTGTTGTTGTGATCTGGAACATGCTGCCTGAGCATAACATTCTAAACAGTAATTAGATCAAAATAAAAACCAAAAGAACTGCGAGTACTGGAAATCAGAAACAAAAACAGAAATTGCAGGAAAAGCTCAGCATCTGTGGACAGAAATCAGAGTTAACGTTTCATTTCATCCCGAAATGTTAACTCTGATTTCTCTCCACAGGTGCTGTCAGACCTGCTGAGCTTTTCTAGCAATTTTGGTAATTAGATCAATACTTGGAAAGGAGGAATTTACAGGGGTAATGGGGAAAGTGTAAGGTGAGTGGGATCAATTCAGCAGATCTCTTAAAGAGCGAGAATGGGTCACAGTGGGCTGAATGGCCTCTTCAATGCTGTAGGTTCCCTTGATTGAAAAATGCTTGTAGATACATGTGTGCCAGGTCAGGACAGGGATTCAGACACAGGTCAGCATAGGTAAAATCCATTCAGGACAAAGTGCAGTCATTTAAGAGTGTAATTTTTTTAAATTCACTCATGGGACGTGGGTGTTGTTGGCTGGGCCAGTATTTCTTGCCCATCCTTAGTTGTCCTTCAGAAGGTGGTGGTTTGCTGCCTTCTTGAACCACTGCAGTCCATGTGCTGTAGGTAGATCCACAATGTCCTTAAGGAGGTTATTTCAGGATTTTGACTCAGCGACAGTGAAGGGATGGCAATATATGTCAGGATGGTGAGCGGCTTGGAGGGGAACTTTCAGGTGGTGGTGTTCCCATGTACCTGCTGTTCATGTCCTTCTAGGTGGATCTCGTTGTGGGTTGGGAAGGTGCTGTCTAAGAATCTTTGGTGAATTTCTGCAGTGCATCTTGTAGATGGTCTACACTGTTTCTATTGAGCATCGGTGGTAGAGGGAGTGGATTCTTGTGGATGTGGTGCCAATTAAAGGAGGGGCTGCTTTGTGCTGATAAGGGTCAGGGATTAAGACTAAGATGAGGAGCAATTTCTTCTCACGTGCGTTGTGAGTCTTCGGAACTCTGCCACATATTTAAGGCTGAGATAGATAGATTCTTGATCAATAGGGGCATCAAGGGTTACAAGGAAAATTCAGGAAAGTGGGTATGAGGAAAGTCTGATCAACCATGATCTTATTGAACGGTGAAGCAGGCTCACAGGGCTGAGTGGCCTACTTCTGTTCCTATTTCTTATGGCCTTATGGATTCTGATGGTGTCACATTTTAATGTGCTAATCTGCCTCTTTGAGCTTAGGGGCATGCTTCAGCACTGAGCTGCAACCTAATTCTGGAAGAATTACTCACAGTTCATTGGCCATTTGAGATCCAATAAGCTGAAACTCTCGCAAACATTGATTTATCCCCGACTCGTCCTCTCCTTTCAGCTCGACTGCACTGCTGTTCATTGGGCCTGCAGAGGCGGGAGATTGGAGGTGCTTAAGATCCTCCTGGGTAAAGGAGCTACTGTGAACGTTAATGACAAGGTAAGAGTCACTGGGGTTCCTCAACAGATTGCAAGAGCACAGGAGGATGGGTGTGGGAGTCAGGAGCAAGGCCAGAGTTTGTTATCCATCCCTGACTGCCCTTGAGCTGAGTGGTTTGCTAGGCCATTGCAGAGGGCAGATTCACTAGGTCTGTAGTTAGATGTAGGCCAGTCCGTATCCCTTCCTAAATTATTTGTGAACCAGATGATAATTTTGATAAAAATTGACAACGGTTAATCATTAGGTCAATTTTTTGATATTGATTTCAAATTTCACCACCTGCCATGATAGAATTTGAAACCATGCTCCCAGAACATTCAGCTGGAGTTCTGGATTGCTACTATACATTTTCATAGAATCCCTACACTGTGGAAACAGTCCATTTGGTCCAAAAAGTCCACACCAACTCTCAGAAGAGCATCCCACCCAGACTGTTCCCCCTACCCTATCCCTGTAATCCTGCATTTCCCCTGACTAATTCACCTAACCTGCACACCTTTGGACTCAAATGTAAAGGGTAACAAGGTGGCTCAGTGGTTAGCACTGCTGCCTCAGCTATTGATAGCTGGGGTCCAGGGTGTAATAGCTTGGGGTCCAGGGTGTACTAGCTAGATGGATAGAGAACTGGCTGGGCAACAGGAGACAGAGAGTTGTAGTGGAAGGGAGTTTCTCAAAATGGAGAACTGTGACCAGTGATGTTCCACAGGGGTCCGTGTTGGGACCACTGTTGTTTGTGATATACATAAATGATATGGAGGAAGGTATAGATGGTCTGATTAGCAAGTTTGCAGATGACACTAAGATTGGTGGAGTAGCAGATAGTGAAGGGGATTGTCGGAGAATGCAGCAGAATATAGATAGATTGGAGAGTTGGGCGGAGAAATGGCAGATGGAATTCAATCCAGGCAAATGCAAGGTGATGCATTTTGCAAGATCCAATTCAAGAGCGAACTATATGGTAAATGGAAAAGCCCTGGGGAAAATTGATGCACAGAGAGATCTGGGTGTTCAGGTCCATTGTACCCTGAAGGTGGCAATGCAGGTCGATAGAGTGGTCAAGAAGGCATACGGCATGCTTTCATTCACCGGACAGGGTATTGAGTACAAGAGTTGGCAGGTCATGTTACAGTTGTATAGGACTTTGGTTCGACCACATTTGGAATACTGCGTACAGTTCTGGTCGCCACATTACCTAAAGGATGTGGATGCTTTGGAGAGGGTGCAGAGGAGGTTCACCAGGATGTTGCCTGGTATGGAGGGCGCTAGCTATGAAGAGAGGTTGAGTAGATTAGGATTATTTACATTAGAAAGATGGAGGTTGAGGGGGGGACCTGATTGAGGTCTACAAAATCACGAGAGGTATAGACAGGGTGGATGGCAAGAAGCTTTTTCCCAGAGTGGGGGACTCAATTACTAGGGGTCACGATTTCAAGGTGAGAGGGGAAAAGTTTAAGGGAGATATGCGTGGAAAGTTCTTTAAGCAGAGGGTGGTGGGTGCCTGGAACACGTTGCCAGCGGAGGTGGTAGAGGCAGGCACAATAGCGTCATGTAAGATGTATCTGGACAGATACATGAATGGGCAGGGAACAGAAGGATACAGATCCTTGGAAAATAGGTGACAGGTTTAGATAGAGGATCTGGATCGGCGCAGGCTTGGAGGGCCAATGGGCCTGTTTCTGTGCTGTAATTTTCTTCATTCTTTGTTCTTTGACTTTCAATTCTAGATTTTAACTAAACTCCAATTCTACCAGCTGCAGTGGTGGGATTTGAAGCCATATCCACTAGACCAGTGACAGTATCACTGCACTGTTATCTCACCCCTCACAATGCATGTCTAATGAGCTGCCAAATCATAGAATCCCTACAGTTTGGAATCAGGCCATTCGGTCCATCAAGTTCATACTGACTTTCGGAAAAGGAGCATTCCACATTACACCCAGACCCATCTACCTACCCTTTCCCTGTAACCCTGCATTTCGCATGGCTAATCCACCCAGCCTGCACATCCCTGGACACTACAGGCAATTTCCCATGGCCAATCCATCCAACCTTTGTAGTGTGGGAGGAAACCCACACAGACAGGGGGAGAATGTGCAAACTCCACACAGACAGTTGTCTGAGGGTGGAATTGAACCCAGGTCCCTGGCGCTGTGAGGCAGCAGTGCTAAGCACTGAGCCACTCCAAAGGTTGGATCTGATTTAGCTAATCCTAACCAAAGTAATGCTGAGTCTGTCACGTTTAGCCTCAGTACCCTGGGTATAGAGTACAATAAAAAGCAGAGAGAGTCTTTCTCCCATGTGCTGCCCAGCAGCCTGTGCTGGGAAGTTTGTGTGGGATGGCAGAGCATTGCCAAAACTGCAGGACTGCCTTTTCGGGCTTCCCAGGAATTTAAAACTAAAGGAAGAAGCTCTGCATTTATATAGCACCTTTCACTACCACTGGATATCTCAAAGCACTTCACAGCCAATGAAATACATTTGAAGGGTACTCACTATTGTAATGTAGGAAACACAACTGCCAATGTGTGCACAGCAAGCTCCCACCACCCATAATGTGATAGTGAGCAATAATGTGCCTTTCTCGAGATGTTGGTTGAGGGTTAAATATTGACCAGGGCCCTAGACAGAACTCCCCTGCTTTTCTTCACAACACTGCCTCAGGATATTTGCAGCAGCCATGCCAGCAGGTGGGGCCTTATTTTAACATTTCACCTGAACGATGGCACCAACAACTGTACCAACCGGAGTGTCTGTCGAGATAATTATGCTGAAGCCCTGGAGTGGGATTCAAACTCACAATGTTACAACTCAGAACACTCCACCAGCTGAGCCATTGCTGGCACTGCCATGGGTACCACCTCCGAGAATAAAATCATTGGAGGGGGGGAGGAAACTGAATGTGAGAATGTGTGTGTGTGTGTCTGTGTCTGCGTGTGTGCATGTGTGTGTTTGGGAGTGTGTGAGTGTGCGTGGGTGTGTGGGTGTGGGTATGTGTGTGTATGTGTGGACGCGCATCTGTGTGTGTCTGTGTGTCTGTGCCTGTGTCTGACTGTGTGTGTGAGTAGTGTGTATATGTCTGTGTGTCTGTTTGTGTGAGTGTAAGTGTGAGTGTGTGCATGGTGTGTATGTGTACGCACATGCATGAGTGTGTGCGTGCCTGTGTGCATGTGTGTGTGTGTCTGTGCCTGTGTCTGTGTGCTTGTGTCTGTCTGTGTGTATGTGAGTAGTGTGTGTCTGTCTTTGTAAGTGTCTGTGTGTGTGTGTGCATGGTGTGTACATGTGTGTACATGGATGAGTGTGTGTGTCTGTGTGCACATGTGTGTGTCTGCATGCGTGTGTGTGTGTGTATGTATATGTGAGTAGTGTGTGTCTGTCTGTGTGTGAGTGTATGTGTGAGTGTGTGAGAGTGTGTGTGAGTGTATAGATCAGGCAGCGACCTTGTGACTCTGGGATCCAAGCACGATGATCCAGGCTGATACTCTAGTGTGTACAGCAGATGTGCTGTAGAGTCAGAAGTGTTGCCTGTCAAATGAGATGTTAAGCAGTGACCTCTGCAGGCATCTTAACGGAGGTAAGAAGAAGAGCAATCTTCAGCACTCTTCCATGTCCTGGTGAGATAGCAGGAACTAGCGATGCTGGAGAATCTGAGATAACAAGGTGTAGAGCTGGATGAACGCAGCAGGCCAAGCAGCATCAGAGGAGCAGGAAGGCTGACGTTTCGGGTCTGGACCCTTCTTCAGAAAATGAAATCTTCCACTGAATGAGGTTTCTGCTCCACTTCCTCCTGGCCTGTCTGATTTACCACAAAGATATCTGTTAACCATTTTCTGAAGAAGGGTCCAGACCCGAAACGTCAGCTTTCCTGCTCCTCTGATGCTGCCTAGCCTGCTGTGTTCATCCAGCTCTACACCTTGTTGTCCATGTTCTGGTTGCTATTTAGTCCTCAAATAACATCTGAAATACAGATGATTTAGACATAGTTCCATTATTGTTTGTGGGAGCAGGCTGTGCACAAATTGGCTCTTGCATGTCATACATTACAAGAGTGACTACATTTACAAAGTATTTCATTGGTTGTAAAGTTCAATGGGACATCCTGAAATTGTGAAAGGTGCTATAGAAATGCAAGCCTTCTTGTAGCAATTGACAGAAGAAGCAGGGAAGAGGAGAGAAATTATTTTTACCCAGTGGGTCACTGTGATCTGGAAGGTAGCTGCCTGAAAGGGCAGTGGAAGCAGATTTAATGACATGTTGTAATCTGATGCAGAGGAGAGATTGGCTCCTCTCTTTTCAAACCTCCCCTGAGTCATTCACAACAAATATATTTAATTTGTGTTTTAGCAAACGGCTATCACATTTCAACTAAAACTAAGTTAATGGGCTTACAAAGGGGCATCCATTTCAAGCCTACCGACTCCCACAGCTACGTAGAGTACACCTCCTCTCACCCACCTTCCTGCAAAAAGGCCATCCCCTATTCCCAATTCCTTCGCCTCCGCCGCATCTGCTCCTGAGATGAGGCATTCCACTCCCGGACATCCCAGATGTCCTCATTTTTCAAGGACTGCAACTTCCCCTCCACAGTGGTCGAAAACGCCCTCGACAATGTCTCTCGCATTTCCCGCAACTCATCCCTCACACCCCCTCCCCGCAATAACAATCAAAACAGAATCCCCCTCGTCCTCACCTACCACCCCACCAACCTCCGGATCCAACGTATCATCCTCCGGCACTTCCGCCATCTGCAATCTGACCCTACTACCAAAGACATTTTTCCCTCCCCACCCTTATCTGCTTTCCGGAGGGACCATTCTCTCTGTGACTCCCTTGTCCGATCCATACTCCCCTCCAGCCCCACCACACCCGGCACTTTTCCCTGCAACCGCAGGAAGTGCTACACCTGCCCCTACACCTCCCGCCTCACCCCCATTCCAGGCCCCAACACGACCTTCCACATCAAACAGATGTTCACTGCACATCTGCCAATGTGGTATACTGTATCCACTGTTCCCATTGTGGCCTCCTCTACATCGGGGAAACCAAGCGGAGGCTTGGGGACCACTTTGTGGAACACCTATGCTTGGTTTGCACTAAACAACTGCACCTCCCAGTCGCGAACCATTTCAACTCCCCCTCCCATTCCTCAGACGACATGTCCATCCTGGGCCTCCGGCATTGCCACAACGATGCCACCCGAAGGTTGCAGGAACAGCATCTCATATTTAGCTTGGGAACCCTGCAGCCCAATGGTATCAATGTGGACTTCACAAGCTTCAAAATCTCCCCTCCCCCTACCGCATCCCAAAACCAGCCCAGCTCGTCCCCGCCTCCCTAACCTGTTCTTCCTCCCACCTCAAGCCCCACACCCATCTCCTACCTACTAGCCTCATCCGGCCTCCTTGACCTGTCCGTCCTCCCTTGGACTGATCTATCCCCTCCCTAACTCCCCACCTACACTCACCTTTACTGGCTCCACCCCTGCTGCCTTGACCTGTCTGTCTCCTCTCCACCTATCTTCTCCTTCATCCATCTTCTATCCGCCTCCCCCCTCTCCCTATTTATTTCAGAACCCCCTTCCCCTCCCCATTTTCTGAAGAAGGGTCTCGGCCTGAAAGGTCAGCTTTCCTGCTCCTCTGATGCTGCTTGGCCTGCTGTGTTCATCCAGCTCTACACCTTGTTATCTCAGATTCTCCAGCATTGGCAGTTCCTACTGTTTCTCTCCAGCCAAATACAATGTTATCTTGAGTGAAATACATTTTATTACCTGCTACCCTGAAAGACAGAGCACCATTGGGCACACACACACAAACTCAGGTAATAGGCTTAAGAAGAAGCGAGGGAATGGTGTCTATATAGACTGAAAATTAAAGGCAATGGCAATTCTAAATACTTAGTATCTTTGCGTAGTGAGAATGAAACCCGAGTGCCAATGATTTAACTGTTGCCCTATTCCCTTGGGAGTGGTGAAGCTTGCAAATACTTTTGATTTCTCTGTGAATAGTGACATTTGCAAGTTGCTTTGTCATTACCGTTGGTTCCTGAGATCGAGTGAGAGACAAGAAGAAGTACTTTCAGTATCCTTGCTGCTATCAGGTCATGTTACCGTCTCTCCCTCTGTCTCTTTGCTCAGAGGCTGCTGTTAATATACTGTTCCTTTGTGGATTTTGGTGCCTGTGTGATTGTTTAATTCTCCCCCCAAACCTGTTCCATTTCCCGTGGATTGTCACTGCCATCAAGTTCAGTTTGTACTATACCCCCATGCGGATCTTCCACTGAATGAGGTTTCTGCTCCACTTCCTCCTGGCCTGTCTGAAAACTCCACTAGCCCTTTGTGATTTACCACGGAGGTACCTGCTAACCAAATCTCCGGCTCTGGCCTGCCATCTTTTGTCACCTTTCCCGGAATCCACTGGCCTTCCGTTTTTATGACTACCGGCCTTCCTCTGACCCTTTTGGAAACTTGTCCTGTCTTTTACTGAAACTTCTGGCTTGACTTCAGTGTTGTTTAAATTAATAGTCTCTTCCCGGGCTACCCTAAACCTCATGGGTTTCACTGCCTCCTGTAGGGCTTCTGACCTCTCTTCATTCCCGTCCTCTTTGCTGCTTCCTGATGGTTTAGTTTAAGTGACCCTCCTCAAACCTCTATCGCTTCCTGCCTCTGCTGCTGGGTTTCCTGCAGCCTCCCCAGGCTGCCCTGTTCTGTTTGAGGAATTTATTTTGCTTTCAGCCCAGTAAACTATCTATCCATTTTCTTAATTTAGTAACGGGATGAGGGCGTTGCTGACCTAGCAGCATTTATTGCCCATCCCTAATTGCCCAGAGGGCAGTTGAGAGTCAGCCACATTGCTGTGGGTCTGGAGTCACATGTAGGCCAGACCAGGTAAGGATGGCAGTTTTCTTCCCTCAAGGACATTAATGAGCCAGATGGTTTTTTCCTGATAATCAACAATGGATTCATGGTCATCTTTAGATTCTTAATTCCAGATATTTTTATTGAATTCAAATTCCATGATCTGCCATGGCGGGATTCAAACCCAGTCCCCGGAATGTTATCTGGGTGTCTGGATTAACAGTCCAGCAATAATACCGCTACGTCATTGCCTCCCCATGCTATGCTTGGGACGAGCCCCACACTGTTACAAGAACCATAACAAGTTTGTTCTCTAAGTAAACTTAGAACAGTGCCACCTCTGTATACATTCCCATGAGCTCTTTCATCAGCACGCTGGAATTTAATTTGCTTCAGGGCGGAAAATGTTTTAACTTCCCCACTCGTAGTGTCTGTGAGCACCTAGTGTTTCAGAAAATCCCAGACAAGTTTAAAGCAGTCAGTGTCACCATTCCTTTTGATACAAACTCCTGATAGCTCTCCTGGTCATACTTGAGCAGACACGGACCACCCTTAATGCCTATACTTGCAGCTTGTGTTTCTGGGAATACCAAGACGAACAATTTCCCTTTGCATCCTTTGATTTCCCACAGTGGAAGCATTTGGGACAGTTTTCCACTTGTCTCCCACCCAATTCCCTTCTTTTGATGGTTGGGGGCAGCTCTGACTGTCCTCCCTTCTCTCTCCGGCTTCTCTCCAGGACGTTGACCTGGCCCTTATTCCTCTCTGATCAGTGACTGCTTCCAGAACCTCAGTTTCCACCAGTTTTTCGGCCTGTATGTTCAGTCATTGTATCAGCCAGGGAAGTCGTTAAAGGGTGAATATTAATGATTCATTTTCACTCTGACTATAACAATTGTCTTTCAGCGTATAGTTGAATAAATACTGTCAGAAGTCACACGACACCAGGTTATAGTCCAACAGGTTTATTTGAAATCACAAGCTTTTGGAATGAAGCCCCTTCGCCAAGGAAAGAGAGGGACTCTGAGTTGCACAGAAACACAGAAGTGTAACAGCACAGGATACCATTCAGTCCATAATGTCTGTGCTGGTCCTCTAAAGCAAACAATCCACCTAGTGCTATTCCACTGCATACTGCCTGAAACTCTGCACACCCTTCCTTTTCAGAGATTGATACAAATTTCTCTAAATACCTCAATTGATCTGACCCCCACCACACCTTTGGGTAGAACATTTCAGATCCTAACCATTTGGGACTAATTGGAAATATTTCAAAGGACCAGCAAAGATCTTTTGTGTTGAATGGCCACATGTGTGTTGTTTAATAGTGAATGGGGGGGTGCAGTTGGTAGGTACAATGTTCTAGTGGACTATTATATTTTGACTACTGTGTATGTATTGGCTCTTCCTCCACTTGCAGCTGCTCAGTACACCTTTGCATGTTGCTACCAGAACAGGCCATGTGGAATGTGTGGAGCATCTCATCACTTGTGGCATTGATATCAACATCAAAGACCGGGTAAAGTTGGCTTATTTTCTGTCTTGATAATTGGCAAGTAACGTTTGCACAACACAATTTCCAGGCAAAGTCCACCTTCCCTCAACACTCCAATGGCATTCCCATCACTGAATCTCCCACTATCAACACCACTATCAACACTATCAACTGAACTGGACTTGCCATATAAATGCAGTGGCTACTAAAACAGGTCAGAGGCTAGGAAGCCCACAGTGCATAACTCATCTCCTGATTTCCCAGAGCCTGTCCAACACCTACAAATCACGAGTCTGATGGAATGCCCCCCACTTGCCTGGATTAGTGCAGCTCCAACAACACTCAAGATATTCAGCACCATTGAAGATAAAGCTGCCTGTTTGATTGGTAATGCGTTCACCAGATTTAACATTCACTCCCTTCACCAGAGTGACAACATTGAGCACCATCTATTAGATGGACTGTAGCAATTCGCCAAGTCCACTTTAAAACATCTTTAAAACCTGCAAGTACTAACATCTATAAGGACAAGGGCAGCAAATACATGGGAACACCACCATCTGCAATTCCCCTCCAAGCCACTCACCATCCTGACTCAGAAATATATCGCTGTTCCTTCAGTGTCACTGGGTCTAAATCCTGCAATTCCCTCCCTAACAGCATTATGGGTTTACCTACAGCACATGGAATATAGCAGTTCAAGAAGGTACCTCACCACCACTTTATGTAGGACAACTAGGAATTGACGATAAATAAGACAACAAGGTGTGGAGCTGGAGGAACACAGCAGGCCAGGCAGCATCAGAGGAGCAGGAAAGCTGACGTTTCGGGTCTGGACCCTTCTTCAGAAAATGCTAGCCTTGTCAGCACTGCCCTCATCCCACAAACAATTAAATAAAAACATGAGTCCCCTCCTGTGTGACTGCCCCAATCCTTATCTATTACCTACCCCAGTATCCCAGGTCATGTCATGGGTTGCTTTCAGTACAGCCAACCCTTTTTCAATGACTCATAGTCTCCATTATCACCTAACTGGCTTCTCTTATTAAAAAAATACCAAAAGGACTGCAGATGCTGTAAATCAGTTAAATCAGAAAAAAATCAGTTAACGTTTTAGATCTAGTGACCCTTCCTCAGAACTTCGATTTTTCTTCACAGGTGCCGCCAGACCTGCTGAGATTTTCCAGCAACTTCTGTTTATGTTAGCTTCTCTTATTCCCTTGCCTATTGTCAACGATCCCTTTGTTTGCCTATCCCTTCTCTCTCTCTCTCTCTCTCCCTCTCTCTCTCTTGCTCTCTCTGGCCTTGCTGTCCACCTATACACTCAATCTTCCCCCCAGTACCCACCACCATCCACTGTCATCAGCTTAAATGTTATCTTTTCCTAGCTACTTCTAGTTCTGAAGAAGGGCCACAGAACTCAAAACATTAACTTTGTTTTATCTCCACAGATGCTAGCAGATCTGCCGAGTTCCTCCAACAATTCCAGTCTTTGTTTATTTGAGTCTCCTCCTGCTCTAAATACCTCAACCATCAGTCCCCATATTTCTGTGGTTCCTTTTCCTTTACACATACACAAAACCTCTCTTTAAACAGTCTCTGCTTCCTGCCGCTCCATGTGTCAGTGATATCCAAAACATGGGTTTAATTTCCTATAAGTGTATTTGTTAATGTGCTGGAAAGTGCCAAGATAATCAGTCAGACAATTAAGTGTAAGAAAAATAAAAGGGGACTTAAGGGGAGGAAACAATGGATTGGAAAATAAGGAAATATGAAGTAGGAAGGAAGGAGCATGAAAGAGAAAACACTTATAACAATACAACACTTTTCACTGTATTTTGTAGCAAATGACATCACAAAAAAGTAAATCAAATAGCTGTCCATCATCCAACAGATTCAAGATGGCAGCAACATTGGGTGACTGTTGGCGAGCTCTCTACAGCAGATCTTATCCTCACATTTATTATAACCATTCTGCATTTTTAAACCTAAATTCTCACCTCCTGTGCAGCTGTAACCTTGTATACCTCGCTCTGTCTAAGCACAGTATGATCTGTATGTCTTTGTTTGCTGTGATTTGCCTGTACTGCTGGAAAAACAAAACTTTTCACTGTATTTAGGTACATGTGACTACAATAAATTAAATCAAATCAAACATGTTCTGGTGTAAGATGAAATACTTTGGCAACACATCTATATTTAATGTTCAAATAAGTAGATCTAGAATGCAGAGAATTGAGACCCGATTGAGATACTTATTCCATTTCCTTCATTGATCTACAGGAGGGGGACACAGCGTTACATGATGCTGTTAGACTTAACCGGTACAAGATAACAAAGCTGCTCATTTTGCAAGGAGCTGACTTGAGAGCCAGAAATGAGGTAAGTCTTCACACCCCCATCTTTCAAACTGCGAAGATTCTACATTGAAGGTCTTAGTGCAGGGGAATCAGTCAGAGGTGGTGAGGAGCTAATATAGATTAAGACAAAGTGATTAGGGGACTAGGCAACTTTAATAAGTTTCACGGGGGAAGGGAAGACTGAAGGAGGTAAGTGCCACAGCTCTGAGATGACTGAGTTAAAGAAAGTGCGGTGCGTCTTTCTTTCACCGCACAGAATATTCACCAAATCTCCTCGGGTAGCATTTCCCAAAGCTGAGGAAGGATGAGAGCAGCAGATACATGGGAACGCCGCAACCTGCAAGTTCCCCTCCAGGCCATACAACACCCTTATTTTGAAATGTATTTGTCGCTCCTGCAGCGTCACTGAGTCAGAATCCTGGAATTCCCTCCTTAATGGCATTGTGGGTGTCTCTCCACTGTAGCAGTTCGGAAAGGCAGCTTACCAGCATTTGGGGAAGGACAGTAAATGCTGGTCTGACCAACAATGCCCACATCCCAAGAAAGAATTTTTTAATAATAATGGAGCCCTACTTCGGATCTAGGATGTGATTTTTACAATACTGGGATGGAACGTGTGGGATTTCAGATCGGACACATCAACCTGTCAATGTCACATTTTCTGGTGACTTTTTAATGGCTTTAGCCACAGGTCACAAGAATCACGAGGGAACATCGTTCTGGAAATGAGGAATGTGAAATGTTGAATGGAGATCAGAGTGTGAAACATTGAATGTCAAAGAGTGTGAAGTCTCTCTGAGTAAATTGGCTGCTGTGTTTGCCTGTGTAAAGTAAGGCTATACCATGTGTTTGTTTTTAAATTTAGCAGGGCAAGACTCCAATTGACCTGGTACAGCAATGGCATCTCGAAACTAAAGATGCACTGGTCCATGCACATTAGCAGCTAACCATCACAGTTCAAAACAGGATGAACCTTCAAGACTGGAAATATTTTTTTGGAACAGTTGAGCCTACACTTGGGTCATGTTTTACCTTCTGCTTTCACCAATGGTCATTGGTCGTTTGATACCACACTATGAGTTTGGATTCGAGACAGACTGATCAAGGAGAAGGCAAATTCAAGAACTGTCTTCAGGCCTAGATTTCAAAGTAACACTATTTATTATTCCTTTCACTCTACATATTGTTATACATGTAATCATAGATACACCAGGCTCTGGATGATAGCTGCATTAATTATAGACTAATCTATTTTCTTTGTGTGTTCATTTCAATGGGCTTCCTCACTTCTCTCTCATTCTAGTGTTTTATCTCCACCCACGCTGTACTATTTATGTTCAGTGACGTGCAGCTCCATGACATCATTGCAAGGTTGCTCCAGGGTCCTGAAGCTGCTACGCAAGAGGAAACATGTAACTAGCAGTTCGGTTCAGTTGAAAATCAAGTCAACCTGACATTCATTCATTGCTGACTGATGTTGAGGGCGGAAGAATGAATTGATAAAGCAAAACAAGTTCAAACTTATTAATGCCTTTCAGGACAATGAAAAGGTATCATATAAGTGTGGGGTCAGTTTGCCTCAACATCACAAATATATGATGCAGTCTTAATCACTCTGTTCATCAATATGATACTGCATTTAGAGGATTTAAATTATGAGGACCAGATGCGTAAACCCTAAGTAAGAAGTTTAAAATGAGTAGATACGATTCGAAAAAGAAAAACAATTTTCTCTGGTGTGGAATCCAGACTGGCTGGGCATATGCCATCTTAAAAATTAGAGCTGGGCCACTTAGGGGTGAAATCAGGAAGCAAATGTTCGTACAATGGTCATAGTGAAAGTCACGAATACACACAACATGCTGTGGATCAATTGACATTTTCAGGCCTGGGTTTGATGGAGTTCTAATAGGAAGAGAATCAACCGAGAACAAATTGAAGGGCTGAAATGCCTTCTTTTACTATATCTATGTTCCTATGTTTTCACTGTTAGCAATGAAAATATCTGCTTAATTCAGTAAGAAACGTGACTGCTTTCTGTATTAAACATCTGTCCTTTCTTTGGTTGTGTTTTCCTCACTAAATTCAGGGTTTGTGCAGCATGGGGATGTATAGGGATAAGGGAAAATGTAGAAACATAGTGAATTAGAAGTGACTATTCAGCCCATCAAGCCTACCTTTTCCCCAATGGGTACAACTTATACTTTCTGTGGGTTTACTATTTACTCTCCTGGGGAAGTTCCATTTAAAAAACTTGCAAATTCCAAAGTTAGCCAAAAAATGGTTACTCATCTTTTCATCTCAAAAGGACATCTCTCCCCATCATACTCCTCCAGGTCAAACACCATGTTGGGTGTTGCCAACCCTCTGGGACTATCCATGTTGGTGTTGGAGATTCAATACCAGGCAGGGCAAGGCTGTGACTGACATTTTAAAAGAAATATAATCGAGGGCATTAAAGAAATCCCTTCTTGACTTTTTCATTGAACAAATTCATTTATTACTTGTAGAAGTAACTGAGATGGTGGGATGGAAAGCTGTTTGATTGACAGTCATGGTTCATCCCTCATGGGGCAGCACGGCGGCTCAGTGGTTAGCACTGCTGCCTCACAGCACCAGGGACCCGGGTTTGATTCCACCCTCGGGCGACTGTCTGTGTGGAGTTTGCACATTATCCCCGTGTCTGTGTGGGTTTCCTCTGGGTGCTCTGGTTTCCTCCCACAGTCCAAAGATGTGCAGATTAGGTGGATTGGCCGTGGGAAATTGCCCATTGTGTTCAGGGATGTATAGATTAGGTGAATGGGTTTGGGTGGGACGCTCTGATGGTTGGTGTGGACTTGTTGGGTTGAAGGGCCTGTTTCCACACTGTAGGGATTCTATGAGCCAATCGCGTAGCAAAGAGTCTGTTTTCTTTCTAATTGGCTGAAGGGAGGCAGTGCACCTTGTGAATTGACCAACATTAGGAGAGTGGGCGGAGATGGGGCGATTCAATTCCTTGTAATTTACATCAATGATTAAGCAGAGAAGAGTGAAGGCATGATAGAATAAACCAAGATAGGGTAGAAAAGTATGTTGTAAAGAAGACATGAGGAAGCTGCAGATAGGTCACGTGTGGGCAAAAATCAGGCAGGTGGAGTATAATTTGGATGGATGTAAAATTGTTCACTTTGACAGGAAGATTAATAAAAAAGAGTGTGACTGAAATGGAGAAAGACTGCAGAATTCTGAGGTAGAGTGGGATATAGATGTTGTGGTGTGTGAGTCACAAAAATTAGTATGCAGGTCCAGAAGGCTAATGGGATGCTATCCTTTCTTACAAGAGGAATTGAATATAAAAGTTTTAGGCATGTTATGCTTTAGTTATACAGGGCATTGGTGAGACCACATCTTGAATTCTATGTGCAGTTTTGGTCTCCTTATTTAAGGAAGGATCTAAATGCATTGGAAGCGGTTCAGATGCAGTTTGGTAGACTGGTATCTGGAATGAGTGGGTTGTCTTATGAGTATAAATTGGATAGGCTGAGGTTGCTTCCACTGGAGTTTACAAGAGCAAGGGGTGACTTGATTGAAGTGTATACGATCCTGAATGGTCTTGACAAGGTGAATGTGGAAAGGATGTTTTATTTCTTGTTGGTTATTCCAGTGGAAGGGGAAGACAAACAGGAGGCTGGAAGAACACAGCTAGCCAGGCAGCATCTAGAGGAAAGGAGCAGTCAACGTTTCGGGTATTAGTAATGCTCCTTTCCTTCAGATACTGCCTGGCTTGCCACGTTCTTCCAGGCTCCTGCTTGTCTACCTTGGATTCCAGCATCTGTAGTTTTTTTGTCCTTAACCTAGTGGAAGGGGCCACTGTTTTAAAACAAGTGGTTGTCCTTTCAGGACAGAGATGAGGAGAAATTACTTTTCTCAAAGGCTTGTGGAACTTTGAAACTGTCTACCTCAGAAAGTGGTGGAGGAGGAATCTTTGAATATTTTTAAGACAGAGGTGGATGTATTCTTGCTAGGCAGGGCTATTAAAGATTATCAGGGGTAAACAGGAATGTGGAATTCAAAACCCAGATGGATCAGCATGAGCAAGCTCAAGGGGCCAAATGGTTTACTTCTGCTCCTATTTCGTATGTCAGACGTTAATAGTGAAATTATTAGTAGTGAAGTTAATAGTAAAAATGAAAACTTCAGGAACATGCCCAAAGTGAACTCTGTCACCAGCACAGAATCCACTTCATCTTGGGAATTGCTTAACAATACATCACCGTGATGTGGCATTCCTCAGATACTGAGACATAGAATCATCCAGCACAGAAGAAGGCCGTTTGGTCTATCATGCCTGCGCTGAGTCTTTGAAAGATCTATCCAATCAGTCCCATCTATTTTGTTTTCTTCCTATATCCTTGCACAGTGCAAAAGACAAATTCTCACCTTTGTCTCTCTCTCTCTCTCTTTTACCGATTATCTTAAATTTGCATTTTCTTGTTACCATGCTTCTGCCAATGCAATGACTTTCCCAAATTTACTCTTTCAAAACCCCACATATTTTTGAACACCTCAAAATTTAAAGGATGTGGATTTACGGCATCAAGCAAGAAGACCCAAGGTAACAGAGGGATCTTTTTGCACAGTGATAATGCATCTGCCTCTGGGATAGATTGTCTGAGTTCAAGGCCCACCGTGTCATTTATTGTCTGAACAAGTAATTAAAAAGAAATGTTTTTCCATACAGTCAGTTGTTAGGATCAGGAATGCACAGCCTGAGAGCGTGTGGTGCAGGTGGGGATTAGATGAGCAGCTTAGATAGGGCTATAGTTTGTAGGGCTAGAGAAAATGGCCAAGGACTAGCTAAATTGCCCTGGGAGAAAACAGGCATGTGTACAATTGGTTGAATGGCCTCATTATGGTCTGTAGACACTCCATGATTCTGTATGTCCCGCCTTAGCATCTTCTGTTGAGAAAGAACAGTCCAGGATTCTCCAGTTTATCCATTTATCTGAAGATCCTTGTCCCTGGTACCATTCTTCTATCACCTCTATACCTGCCCCAACATCTGGATATCCTTCCTAAAATATGGTGCCCAGAATTAGGAATTGTACTCCAGCTAAGGTCTCACCTGGAACATGTAAGAGCACTCTGGTGAATTTTACAAGCAGAAGCAATGGAAATCGAAGATAAATGAGGAAGATGGTAGCCTTGGAGGAACCATTGCGTTTTTAAGAAACTTTTGACAATAAGTTTTATTAATATAATACCTTTGACATGATACATCCGAAGGTGTGTCGCTGGAGTGCTTTAATGAAAACAAATAACGCTGAACCCTTCCTTGCTCAGACCATTGAGTTTCGGAGTTGGGACATCATGTACAGGACACTGGGGAGGCCACTTCTGGAGTACTGTGTACAGTTCTGGGCGCCTTGGTATTATTAGGATATTATTAAGCTGAAGAGGGTTCAGAAGAGATTTACCAGGATGTTGCCGGGACTGTAGGATTTGAGTTATAAAAATAGGCTGGATGGGCTGGCACCTTTTTCACCAGAGCATTGGAGGTTGAGGGGTGACCTTACAGATGTTTACAAAATCATGAGGGACATAGGTAAGGTGAATAGCAAAGGTCTTTTCCCTAGGGTGGGGGAGTTCAAAATAAGGGGGCATATTTTTAACATGTAGGAGAAAGATTTAAAAGGGACCTGAGGAGCAACTTTTTCACAAAGAGGGTGGTTCATGTGTGGAATGAACTGCCAGAGGAAGTGGTAGATGCAGGTACGGTTACACAACTTTTAAAAAACATTTAGACAGGTGCATGAGTAGGAAACATTTGGAGGGATATGGGCCAAATGCAGGCAAGCAGGATTAGTTTGAGAAACTTGGTTGGCATGGATGAGTCAGACCAAAGGGTCTGTTTCCATACGGTATGAGTCTATGAATCTATAAATATGTTGCAAACAGTCTGGTTCAGTTAAGGAGAAGGGTAAAGTCAGTGGCTGTAGGGAGCAGAGATTGTGGCAAAATTTGGGTTAAAGGTTGCAGATAATTACAGGTAACAGGTTGTATTCAGGATCACAGGTCGTGGTTAGGATCTGGAGACATGTTGTGGTTAAAATCTAGTGTTAGCGATTGTTATCAGGGTCAGAGGCTGTGGTTAAGGTTTAGAGTTAGCGATTGTTTCGGGGTCAGAGGCTGTGGTTAAGGTTTAGAGTTAGCGATCGTAATCGGGGTCAGAGGCTGTGGTTAAGGTCTAGAGTTAGCGATCGTAATCGGGGTCAGAGGCTGTGGTTAAGGTTTAGAGTTAGCGATTGTTACCGGGGTCAGAGGCTGTGGTTAAGGTCTAGAGTTAGCGATTGTTATCAGGGTCAGAGGCTGTGGTTAAGGTTGAGTGCGATTGTTATCAGGGTCAGAGGTTGTGGGCAGGGTTTTGTATCTGGGATTGTGGCTAGGGTCAGAGGTTGTAGTTAGGGTCTGGATTGGTGAGTTCTGATCAGGGTCAGAAGTTGTGGTAAGGATCTGGGTTTGGGGCCTGTGGTCACGGTCAGAGATTGTGATCAGGGTTTTGGTGTAAAATGGGGGGGTTAAGAATTGCTGGTAAGGTTAAAGATTGAGATTCGGGTTTAAATCCAGCTTTAGGACAGGAAGTATAATGAGGGGCAAGGTCGGTTTTATTGACAATGCCTGTGTTTAACGGGCAGTGGAGACACAGTGATAATAAACTCCCAGACTGTAAACCCCTGGCTCTCACATGCTTAGCGCTGAACTCGGCCAGTCATTGCCCCAGCGGAATATTTGCCAGTGCTCCCAGCTCCTTCCAACTTCGCCCCAAACATTGCAAAAACTTTCTAACTTAAATAAAAACCTTCCCCGTTGGGAGAAACAACGTTTGTAACCTCTTTGCTAAAATAACAAGCAATGTCCACCTAGTAGGGGGGTGGGGGGGGGGCGTGGTTGTGAGCAGACTGAAGATTCCGGGTCACTGGTTAACTTGTGTCTGAGCTGCAGAAAAGTTGCGTTCCTGGTGGAGGAAATGTTTTTGAGGAAAACTTTAATCTGGAAATGTTTGGAGTGGAGGGTGTTTGGGAGGGCGATGAAGCAGGGCAGGTCCCTCAGCTCCGGGAGTCGGCTGGACCTGGGGGGTATTTACCCGCCGATAGTTACCCCCTTTGACAAGAAGGGTCGGGTAGAATATCAGCAACTGGAGAGCAACGTCCGGAAGTTCAACAAGATTCCTTTCAGAGGTAGTGTGTGTGTGTGTGTGTGTGTTATGTGACATTTTGCACTTTTATTTAGTCATAGAGATACAAAGACCATTCGGTCCAACTCGTCCATGCCGACCAGATATCCGAGATAAATCCAGTCCCATTTGCCAGCAAATGGCCCATATCCTTCTAGAATAATGGTTCCTTTTCAAATTGGCAGGCAATAACTAGCTGGGTGTTTCAGTGATCGGTGCTGGGATCCCAGCTATTCACAATATGTATTAATGATTTGGATGAGGGAACAAAATGTAACATCTCAAAGTTTGCAGATGATACCAAGCTGGGTGGGAGGGTGAACTGTGAGGAGGATGCAGAGATCCTTCAGCATGATCTGGGCAGGTTGGGGGAGTGGGCAAATGAATGGCAGATGCAGTATAATTTGGGTAAATGTGAGGTTATTCACTTCGGAAGCAGAAACAAGAAGCAGGATACTACCTGAATGGCTGTAAGTTGGGAGAGGGGAGTGTGCAGCAGGACCTGGGTGTCCTTGTGCATCAGTCTTTGAAGGTAAGCATGCAGGTGCAGCACCGGGTAAAGAAGACAAATGGTAAGTTGGCCTTCATTGCGAGAGGTTTCGAGTATAGGAGCAGGGATGTGTTGTCGCTGTTTTTCAGGGCCTTGATGAGGCCACAACTAGAATATTGTGTGTAGTTTTGGTCTCCTATTCTGAGGAAGGATGCTCTCGCTCTCGAGGGAATACAGCGAAGGTTTACCAGGCTGATTCCAGGGATGGTGGGACTGATATATGAGGAGAGATTGACTAGGTTGGGATTGTTTTCGCTAGAGTTCAGATGAATGAGTGGGGAATCTCATAGAAACTTATAAAATTCTAACAGGACTGGACAGGGTAGATGCAGGGAGGATGTTCCCCATTGTGGATGTGTCCAGAACCAGGGGTCACAGTCTGGGGATTCAGGGTAGACCATTTAGGACGGAGATGAGGAGACATTTCTTCACCCAGAGTGGTGAACCTGTGGAATTCATTACCACAGGAAATAGTTGATGCCAAAACATTGAATGTATTCAAGTGGTGACTAGATACAGCACTTTGGCTGAATGGGATCAAAGGTTATGGGGAGAAAGCAGGATTAGGTTATTGAGTTGGATGATCAGCCATGATCGTGAAGAATGGTGGAGCAGGCTCGAAGGGCCGAATGGCCTCCTCTTGCTCCGATCTTCTATGTTTCTATTCACATACCCATCGAGATACTGTTTTAATATTGTAATGTACCAGCCTCCACCACTTCCTCTGGCAGCACATTCCACATGCGCGTCACCTGCTGCATGAAAAAGTTGCCCCTTGGGTCTCTCTTAAATCTTACCCTTCTCACCTTAAACCTATGCCATCTGGTTTTGGACTCCCCCATCCCAGGGAAAGCACCTTGTCTGTTTACTCTATCCATGCCCCTCATGATTTTATAAACCTCTATAAGGTCACCCATCAGCCTCTGACACTCCAGGGAAAATAGCCCCAGCCTATTCAACCTCGCTCTATAGCTCAAACCCTCCAACCCTGGCAACATCCTTGTAAATCTTTCCTAAATTCTTTCAGGTTTCACAACATCCTTCCTATAGCAGGGCGACCAGAATTGCATGCAGTATTCTGATAGTGACCTAATTAATGCCCTGTTAGCTGCAACATGATCTCCCAACCCTTAAACTCAATGCCCTGACCAATAAAGGCAAGCATATTTAACAAAAGGAAAATGTCTGGGAACCTGCTTCATTCAGTATCACTCTCCTGACGCTGTCTTTGAACTCCTCCTAAATTCTGCAACCCAAAGTACCAAGACCCATTTACCCATTGCCCTCTGAATTCACCAACTTTGAGTGGGATCCTACCCAGCTACACCACAAATGTAACATTCTGCTCCAACCCACCATGTTCTAATTTCCTCCCTAACTCTGTGAACTCCTCTAGCCCCACAACCATCCAAGCTCTCTGCATTCATCCAATCTTGGCCTGTTCCCCCACTCCCTGATTTCCATCCACCATTAGCCTTCAGTTGCCTGGGCCCTAACGTTTGGAATTCCCACCCTAACTTTCACTAGCTTCAAGATGCTTTTTTCCTATTCATTCATTGATTTGGGTGTCACTAGCTGAGGCAGCATTTATTGCCTGTCCCTAATTGCCCATGAGAAGGTGAGATGCCTTCTTGAACCACTGCAGTCCATGTGTTGTAGGTTGACCCACATTGCCCTTAGGAAGGAACAGCGACATATTTCCCAGTCAGGGTGGTGAGTGGCTTGGAGGAGAACTTGCAGGTGGTGGTGTTCCCATGTATATGCTGTCTTTGTCCTGCCAGATAGAAATAGTCATGGGTTTTGAAGGTGTTGCTGAAGGAGTCTTCACTAGTTATTCCACCTTGTAGGTGGTGCAAACTGTGCATCAGTGGTAGAGGGTAAATGCTGAAGGTGGTGGATGAGATTTCTCATCAAGTGCACTGCTTTGTTCTGGATGGTGTCAAACTTCTTGAGTGTTGTTGGGGCTGGACTCATCCAGACAAGTGAGGAATATTTCATCACACTCCTGACTTTTGCTTTGTAGAAGGTGCACAGATTATGGGGAATGAACAGGTCAGTTACCTTTTGTAGAATTCCCAGCCTCTGATCTGCTCTTGTACTTGCAACATTTAATTTGACCAAGCTTTTGGTCACTTGTCCTAATATCTCCTGCTTTGGGTGGCACGGTGGCTCAGTGGTTAGCTCTGCTCCCTCACAGCGCCAGGAACCCAGATTCAATCCCACCCTCAGGTGACTGTCTGTGTGGAGTTTGCACATTCTCCCTGTGTCTGCGTGGGTTTCCTCCGGGTGCTCTGGTTTCCTCCCACAGCCCAAAGATGTGCAGGCTAGGTGGATTGGCCATGCTAAATTGCCCATCATATCCAGGGATGTGTAGGTTATGTGGATTAGCCATTGGTATGCAGGGTTACAGGGATAGGACAGGGGTTTGCTCTTCAGAGGGCAAGTGTGAACTCGATGGGCTGAGTCGCCTGCTTCCATACTGTAAGGATTCTGTGATTCTGATGCTCCTGTGAAGTTCTTTGGGATCTTTCACCACAATAAAGATGCTATGTAAATGCAAATAATTGCTATTGAACTGAAGTTTCCACTGGCTAAATAGTCTGAAAACCAAAGCCATTGTCTCCTATCACTGCCACAAACTCTGTTCCCTCACTCCCATAGCCACTGTCTCAGTCTGAACTAGAATGTTCATGACCTCTGCGTCTTTTTTAAAATTTCTTTCTTTTTTTTAATTGTATTATTGTGGAAGGACTGTTAGTCTGATCTTTTTATTTCTCTATTTCTTTATTTTTCTAACTTATTACTATGATTGGGAAGGTCTGTAATGCTGGATTTTTTATTTCTTTATTTTTCTAATTTTTCTTCTAAGAATTTATACTCCAGAATCTGTACCTTGGTACCTATGATGGTGCCAGAAGTGGCAACTTGTAAAATTTTCACTGTACTCATGCGAGTACATGTGACAATAAGGCTAGTTCAATTCTAATGAGCCCTAATGAGTGCCGAATGTTAAATATCAGTCTTCATTTAATAAACGGAGTGCCTATGATCTGACAATGGTGCGATAACTGTTGTGAATCACTAATTAATCTTCCCACGGAGCTTGTTGAGATGAGTTCCCTTGGTAACAGGCAATGGCTAACCCAGCTAGAGCTCATCATCTGAGCCCTTTATAAACCAGACACAGTGGTGGGCACCGTGGGGGATACAGTGCTTTATTTCCTTCTCCAACTCTTTTTATTTAGTCCCTACCTGCTCACCCTAGCCCCCACCCCTCACTTTTGATGGCTTGCATTGTCCTTAATAGACTTTGAATGTAAATATTTAATTAACTTAATGGATGTCTTATTGGTAGTGGTTAATCTGTGCCTCACTGTGTCATCATTAATGTGCCAATAACTAGTGCAGATTTCAGCTCACCGGCTCCACAGCTTCAGGCCCCATTCCATAAATGATTACACACAAGATCCTTGGACCTTAAACCCTGGTGAGTTCTCCATCCTAACCAAACTCTTCGGCTAGTTATTTTGATTAATATGTCACTAAAGTTCTCCACGTTCCAATGTGAAAAGCCTTTTTACTGCAGAACACAGCAGCAAACTAAAGGATAGTAAGAATCGCCAATGCTGGAGTCAAAGATAACACAGTGTGGAGCTGCAGGAACACAGCAGGCCAGGGAGCATCAGAGGAGCAGGAACACACCTCCTCTCATCCACCTTCCTGCAAGAATGCGATCCCCTACTCCCAGTTCCTCCGCCTCCGCCGCGTCTGCTCCCAAGATGGGGCGTTCCACTCCCGAACATCCCAGATGTCCTCCTATTTCAAGGACCGCAATCTCCCCCCTTCAGTGATCAAAAATGCTCTCAACTGCATCTCTTGCATTTCCCACACCTCTGCCCTCACATTCCCTCCTCCCAACAAAAACAAAAACAGAATCCCCCTTGTCCTCATATATCACCCCACTAACCTCCATATCCAACGTATCTTTCTCGGCCACTTCTGCCACCTACAATCTGACCCCACAACCAAAGATATATTTTCCTCCCCACCCCTATCTGCCTTTTGTAGGGACCACTTTCTCTGCGACTTCCTCATCTGCTCCACACTCCCAACTAGCCCCACCACCCCCGGCACCTTTCCCTGCAACCGCAGGAAGTGCTACACATGCCCCTACACCTCCCCCCTCACCTCCATTCAAGGCACCAAACAAACCTTCCACATTAGACAGAGGTTCACCTGCACATCCGCTAATGTGGTCTATTGTATCCGCTGCTCCTGATGTGGCCTCCTCTACATCGGTGAGACCAAGCAGAGACCCAGAGACCGTTTTGTAGAGCATCTATGCTCTGTACGCGACAAAAGACAACACCTTCCAGTCGTGAACCACTTCAACTTCCCCTCCCACTCCCTGGGTGACATGTCCATCCTGGGCCTCCTCTAGTGTCACAATGATGCCACCGGGAAACTGAAGGAGCAGAACCTCATATTCTGCCTTGGGAACCTACATCCCAATGGCTTAAATGTGGATTTTACCAGTTTCAAAATCTCCCCAGCCTCGGCCTCATCCCATGAACAACCTCCTTCTCATCCCTCCCTCTCATGAGGTTTTGGAGTAGATTTATAGCTCAGTTTGTGGGTGTTGAGGTTGGTTGGCTTGCCGAGCTGGTTCCTTGTTTTGCAGACATTTCGTTACCATGCTTGGTAACATCCTCAGTGCAGCCTCCGATGAAGCTTTGAGGATGTTACCAAGCATGGTAACGAAACGTCTGCAAAACAAGAATCCAGCTCGGTGAGCCAACCAACCTCAACAACCTCGACACCCTCTCATAAGTTCTGAGGAAGGGTCACCGGACCCGAAATGTTAACTCTGTTTTCTCCTTCACAGATGCTGCCAGACCTGCTGAGCTTTTCCAGGATCTTTGTTTTTGTTCCCTCTCATCCCCGCCTCCTTGATCTGACACAACATGTCCATCTTCTCTCCCACCTATCCGCTCCTCCCACCTCACTGACCAATCCTCACCACTCGCTACCTGCACTCCTCTACCACCATCCCACCTACTTTCCCCAGCCCCATCCCTCCTCTCTCTAGTTATTTCGGAGCTCCCTTTCGCTTCCCCTTCCCCTTCCCCCATTTCTGAAGAAGGGTCCTGACCTGAAACGTCACCTTTCCTGCTCCTCTGATGCTGCCTGGCCTGCTGTGTTCATCCAGTTCCACACTGTGTTATCTATCGCAAACTAAAGGAGTTGTTTCTTCTGCCTTTGGCCACAACTGGAAACGCACACAGAGCCCAACTTTCAGAATTCTGGCTGCAATGGGAATATTGTTTCTTACAAGATTTTGAACTTCTCATCCTTATCACCGTATCAAAATCTAAATATTCTGCTCCCACTGGTTCACCAATTATTCCATTAGATCCATCATCAGAAATCTCCACTGAATACTGATGGGGTGCTGCATTGTCAGAGGCGCTGTCTCTGGTGGGTGTAAGATATTTCATTCCACTAAGTCAAAGAAAAGCAGGAGAGTCCTCTGCTCAGGAACAAAATTCAACCCTCAAACCAACAACATTGCCGTCTGCAGGATCTTGCTGCGTGCTTTTTGGCTGCAATGTGTCCTGCCTAACACCACACTTCCAAAAACACTACATTTGGCCAGAAAGCAGTTTGGATGATACTGAGGTGGAGACGGATGCTGTTTAAATGCACAATCTGTTTGCAGGGTTGGTTGTTCAGGGCTCCAATGGAGAGTTTGTCTTCCTGACCAGTGAGGAACGTGTTGAAGTTGTTCGGCGGGTGAGGCAGGTACTGCCTGAGGAGAAGCTGCTGGTCACTGGATCTGGCTGTGAATGTAAGTGAAGATCGTGAGAGTCACAAGATGGGAACCAAATTCTGCAGAGGCATGTGGCGTACGGGACAGGTACATGGTTCGGAGCAGAAACCCCTCACCCAAACAGGTCGGTGCAGGTCTAAACCCAGAGAGAAAGGAGGGTAAAAGTGGGCACAAGAGTGGCAGGAGCAGCAGAAGGTGATGCGATGAACCAGTCTAGATACCCCAATGGATGTGACTGGGGAATAAAGACTTTGTGGCTTAGTGGTTAGCACTGCTGCCTCACAGCGCCAGGGACCCAGGTTCGATTTCAGCCTCGGGCGACTGTCTGTGTGGAGTTTGCACATTCTCCCTGTGTCTGTGTGGGTTTCCTCCCACAGTCCAAAGATGTGCAGGTTAGGTGGATTGGCCATGCTAAAATTGCCCGTAGTGTCCAGGGGTGTGTAGATTAGGTGGGTTATAGGGGGATGGGTCTGGGCGGGATGCTCTGAGTGTCAGTGTGGACTTGTTGGACCAAAGGGCCTGTTTCCACACTGTAGGGATTCTATAATTGTACACTGGGCAGTAGCACTGAGGCAATGTGAAAGAGAGACAGAGAATGAGTGATACTCAGAGGACTCAATCCTGGTTGTGTTGCTGGATAATGTTGAGTGGGCTGTAGCTGGAGCTCTAACAGTCTGATCATTTCTCAGCCATTTTAAGAAAAAATTCAACCACATGATGTGAATTTTGTAGGCACAGCCTGCAATTTATTGCCTGTCCCTAATTACCCCTGAAGGCGGTGCCTTCTGATACAGTCGATGGGGTAAGGGGTAGGCTTAGGTTACACCCCTCAGGCTGTAGCCATCAGTATCAGTTTCGGGTCAGTCAGTGAGATCTTGTTGCCGTGGCTACTGCAAACAGGTTATAAGTGGCGATTTTTGCTGTCTGCTCCCTACAGCCACAGAGGCCACCATTGCAATGACGCTCAAGATGGCCGAAGCAGGGGCAAGTGCTGTGATGGTTATCACTCCATTTTACTATCGTGGCAGAATGAACAGCGCTGCTTTCATCCAGCACTATACACAGGTAACTGTTACACAAACAGGTAACCATTAACCCTAACCCTAATGTAGTTAATAGCTGGCTGTTAACAGGGAAATAACTTCTGGTTACTGGCCTTCTCGGTATTTCTCTTGCTGTCAAAGATATTTTTCCTCTCTTGCCTCGCTGTTGGCAGGGTGACCTTTTTCTGGTCACTCTTGTAATGAGACAGATCTTTCCATCAAGTGCGTAGGTGCCGGTGCTTGCTAATTGGCAACGAGAAGGGTCTGATGAAGGGTCACTGGATCAGAAACGTTAACTCTGCTTTCTCTCCACAGATGCTGTCAGACCTGTTGAGTTTTTCCAGCAATTTCTGTGTTTGTTGGAGTTGACCATGTGTTAATGATATGTACTGCACTGGATTTTCAAGCTTGATTTTCATGTTCATGTTCATGTTCATATTCTAACTTTTGGGGCGGCACGGTGGCTCAGTGGTTAGCACTGCTGCCTCACAGCGCCAGGGACCTGGGTTCGATTCCACTCTCGGGTGACTGTCTGTGTGGAGTTTGCACATTCTCCCTGTGCCTGTGTGGGTTTCCTCTGGGTGCTCCGTTTTCTTCCCATAGTCCAAAGGTGTGCAGGCTAGGTGGATTGGCCATGCTAAATTGCCCATAGTGGTCAGGGATGTGTAGCTTAGGTGGGTTATAGGGGGATGGGCCTGGGTGGGATGCTCCAAGGGTCGGTGTGGACCTGTTGGGCTGAATGGTCTGTTTCCACACTGTAGGGATTCTATGATCTATTCTATGATTTTGGGGTGAGAATACCACCAATTTAACCATGGCTAATGCACAGTAGACAAAGAGCTGTACGGTCATATGTCTTTCACTCCTCTAGCATTGTGTGATTTCGGCATATTGCTATTGTGCAGGAATCAGCAAAGAGTAAATAAGTGAAGTTTCACATCATGATCCCACATTGAGGTGAGCCAAGTGATGAGACCTTTTAATCAATCACTCTTGAGATATTTTCTCATCAAGCTGGTCAGAGATGTTATTGCACACCTCTAGAGGCTCCTTGAGATACAAATCTATAAAATTACAAGATGCATACATAGAGTTGAAAGTCAGAATATTTTTCCCAGAGTTGAAATACTTGGGGGCATGCTTTTAAGGTGAGGGGGGGAAGGTCAAAGGAGATGTGACTGGCATGTTTTTTACACAGAGAGTGGTAGGTGTCCAGGATGCGCTGCCAGGGGTGGTAGTGGAGGCAAGTACAATAGGGGCATTTAAGGGGCTTTGAGGTAAGTACATGAAAATGCAAGGATTGGAGGCATCTGGACGAAGGTCAGGCAGAAGGGATTAGTTTAATTTGGTGTCATGTTCAGCATAACATCATGGGCTGACGGGCCCATTCCTGTGTTCTACTGTTCTATATTCTACCACTGGAGCAGGGGGGATATGAACTCCTAGCTCAGAGGTAGGGATGCTGCCACTGCGCCACAGGAACACTAACCAATCACTGTCTTGATTGTTCTTGATGATTTCAATTCAGGTAGCAGATGCCTCACCTGTGCCGGTTGTATTGTACAGCGTCCCAGGCAACACTGCATTGGAGCTTCCAATGGACGCGATCCTCACTCTTTCTCAACATCCAAACATTATTGGGCTAAAGGACAGCGGTAACGATGTAAGTGCTCATCCCCTTCCTCGTTTCCTCCTTTTGACTTGCAAGGGGTTGCGAGGAGACCATTCAGCCCCTGGAGCCTAACCCATTGTTCAGTTAGGCCATAGTTATCTGTAAAACCATGTTGTTATCTCTTACTCAACAAAAATCTCTGTGTTAAAATTCTCAGTTAGGAACCCCAGTCCCCCACCGGTCCCAGCCTCAGCAGCTGCTTTGGAGCAGAGAATTCCTGATTTTCCCCAACCTGTGTATGCTTCCTGACCTTGTGTTTGGGTTCTAAGTTTAAGATGGTACTATCTAGTGGTCTCCACTGGCATCTGCTTTCTTACTGATGTCCAAGATGACACTGTGGGGTCCGGGACCAGGAATTGGAAGCATCAGAGCATGGTACTGATCTTGTTCCCAATGGGGACATCTCCAGCTCTCCAGCTGACACACTACCCTGTCAGCTGGGATCGACCAGAGAGAAAGCAAGAAGGCAAATCTCGATAACCATTCTGAAGTTGCAGTACTTCAGAACATCCCAAAGAACTTTGTTACCCATCAGAAAAAAAATGAGATTACATTGTAATGTAGGAAAAGAGGCTACCAACCAATGCACAGCAAGATCCCAGAAACAGTAAAGTGATGATGACCAGATAATCTCTCTTCCCTTCGGTGATATTAGTTGAGGGATAATTATTTTTAGGATAGTGCCATGGGATCTGTTATGCCTGCCTGAGGGGGCAGATGTGGCCTCAGTTTAATAGCCCATCTAAAGGAAGGCGTTTTGTCTGTGGTCCAATCCTTTTGTCGTGCCTGGAAGAGTCAGATATGATATTCTGTGCTCTGCTGCCTGCGTCAACCTTTACTGATTTGGAGGCAAGAATGCTTTCCATCGAATCACAACTGATTACACACTGTATTAAAATTGATACAAACTTCCTAATAATGTTGTCTTTTCTATGGGGAGGCACGGAGGCTCAGCGGTTAGCACTGCAGCCTCACAGCGCCAGAGACCCAGATTTCATTCCAGCATTGGGTGACTGTCTGTGTGGAGTTTGCACATTCTCCTTGTGTCTGCAGGTGCTCTGGTTTCCTCCCACAGTCATACTGCAGGTTAGGTAGAATGGCCATGGTAAATGTGGGATTACAGGGATAGGATAGGTGGCTGGGTCTGGGTGTTCTTTAGAGGGATGGTGCACAGTCGATGGGCTGAATGGCCTCTTCCGCACTGTAGGAATTCATTGAGCTCAGTGCCACACCCTTCTTCACAGGAGGGCAGGCAGTTTCATGTCAGGCTACATAAACCCCACTCTGCATGGAGATGATTCAGGTCATCCCTTTGCTACTCACATCCTGGAAACTAAACCACTGTAAATGGCTTGGATTGATTTTACCTACACACTTTGTATTATGTAGCTATCCTCCACTATCTGCATCTTGTGGAGAAATAATCCTGATTTTATCAGAGACAACAAGGTGCAGGGCTGGATGAACACAGCAGGCCAAGCAGCATCATAGGAGCAGAAAGGCTGATGTTTCGGGCCTAGACCCTTCATCAGAAAAGGGGGAGGGGAAGGGGGTTCTGAAATAAATAGGGAGAGAGTGGGAGGCGGATAGAAGATGGATAGAGGAGAGGATAGGTGGAGAGGAAACAAACAGGTTGAAGAGGCGGGGATGGAGCCAGTAAAGGTGAGAGTGTAGGTGGGGAGTTAGGGAGGGGATAGGTCAGTCCAGGGAGGACGGACACGTCAAGGGGGCGGGATGAGGTTAGTCGGTAGGAGATGGGGGTGCAGCTTGAGGTGGGAGGAGGGGATAGGTGGGAGGAAGAACAGGTTAGGGAGGCGGGGATGAGCTGGACTGGTTTTGGGATGCGGTAGGGGGAGGGGAGATTTTGAAGCTTGTGAAATCCACATTGATACCATTGGGCTGCAGGGTTCCCAAGCGGAATATGAGTTGCTGTTCCTGCAACCTTCGGGTGGCATCGTTGTGGCACTGCAGGAGGCCCAGGATGGACATGTCGTCTGAGGAATGGGAGGAGGAGTTGAAATGGTTCGTGACTGGGAGGTGCAGTTGTTTATTGCGAACCGAGCGTAGGTGTTCTGCAAAGAAGTCCCCGAGCCTCCGCTTGGTTTCCCCGATGTAGAGGAAGCCACACCGGGTACAGCGAATGCAGTATACCACATTGGCAGATGTGCAGGTGAACATCTGCTTGATGTGGAAAGTCTTCTTGGGGCCTGGGATGGGGGTGAGGGAGGAGGTATGGGGGCAGGTGTAGCACTTCCTGTGGTTGCAGGGAAAAGTGCCGGGTGTGGTGGGGCTGGAGGGGAGTGTGGAGCGGACAAGGGAGTCACAGAGAGAGTGGTCCCTCCGGAAAGCAGATAAGGGTGGGGAGGGAAAGATGTCTTTGGTGGTGGGGTCGGATTGCAGATGGCGGAAGTGTCGGAGGATGATGCGTTGGATCCGGAGGTTGGTGGGGTGGCACGTGAGGACGAGGGGGATTCTTTTTTGGTTCTTATTGTGTGGACGGGGTGTGAGGGATGAGTTGCGGGAGATGTGGGAGACACGGTTGAGGGCGTTCTCGACCACTGTGGAGGGGAAGTTACGGTCCTTTTAAAACGAGGACAACTGAGATATATGGGAGTGGAATGCCTCATCCTGGGAGCAGATGCGGTGGAGGCGAAGGAATTGGGAATAGGGAATCGCATTTTTGCAGGAAGGTGGGTGGGAGGAGGAGTATTCTAGTTAGCTGTGGGAGTCGGTGGGCTTGAAATGAATATCGGTTTCTAGGTGGTTGTCCGATATGAGACAGAGAGGTCCAGGAAGGGGAGAGAGGTATTAGAGATGGTCAGGTAAACTTAAGGTTGGGGTGGAAGGTGTTGGTGAAGTGGATGAACTGTTCGAGCTCCTCGTGGGAGCACGAGGCGGCGCCGATACAGTCATCAATGTAACGGAGGAAGAGGTGGGGTTTAGGGCCGGTGTAGGTACGGAAGAGGGATTGTTCCACGTAACCTACAAAGAGGCAGGCATAGCTTGGGCCCATGCGGGTACCCATGGCCACCCCCTTTGTCTGTAGGAAGTGGGAGGAATTGAAAGAGAAGTTGTTGAGTGTGAGGACGAGTTCGGCTAAGCGGATGAGGGTGTCAGTGGAGGGGGACTGGTCGGGCCTGCGGGACAGGAAGAAGCGGAGGGCCTTAAGGCCATCTGCATGGGGAATGCAGGTGTAGAGGGACTGGACGTCCATGGTAAAGATGAGGTGTTGGGGACCGGGGAATTGGAAGTTCTGGAGGAGGTGGAGGGCGTGGGTGGTGTCACGGACATAGGTAGGGAGTTCCTGGACCAAGGGGGAGAAAATGGAGTCCAGATAGTTGGAGATCAGTTCGGTGGGGCAGGAGCAGGTGGAGACAATGGGTCGACCAGGGCAGTCAGGTTTGTGGATTTTGGGAAGGAGATAGAAGTGGGCAGTGCGGGGTTGGGGAATGATGAGGTTGGAGGCCGTGGGTGGGAGGTCACCTGAGGTGATGAGGTTGTGGATGGTTTGGGAGATGATGGCTTGGTGCTCAGGGGTGGGGTCATGATCAAGGGGGCGGTAGGAGGAGGTGTCGGAGAGTTGTTGGCGTCTGGCCTCGGCGATGTAGAGGTCAGTGCGCCATACTACAACTGCGCCTCCCTTGTCCGCAGGTTTTATGGTGAGGTTGGGATTGGAACGGAGGGAGCGGAGGGCTGCACGTTCTGCAGGGGAGAGGTTGGAGAGGTTGCAGGAACAGCAACTCATATTCCGCTTGGGAACCCTGCAGCCCAATGGTATCAATGTGGATTTCACAAGCTTCAAAATCTCCCCTCCCCCTACCGCATCCCAAAACCAGTCCAGCTCGTCCCCGCCTCCCTAACCTGTTCTTCCTCCCACCTATCCCCTCTTCCCATCTCAAGCCGCACCCCCATCTCCTACCGACTAACCTCATCCCGCCCCCTTGACCTGTCTGTCCTCCCTGGACTGACCTATCCCCTCCCTAACTCCCCACCTACACTCACCTTTACTGGCTCCATCCCCGCCTCTTTGACCTGTCTGTTTCCTCTCCACCTATCTTCTCCTCTATCCATCTTCTAT